CTGGATCCGCCACTAGGTAATATAGTCAAATGTGGTGTGCACATGAAAATGGTAACATAGTCAAATGTGGTGTGCACATGAAAATGGTAACATACATGTAGTCAAATGTGGTGTGCACATGAAAATGGTAACATACATGTAGTCAAATGTGGTGTGCACATGAAAATGGTAACAAAGTCAAATGTGGTGTGCACTTGAAAATGGTAACATAGTCAAATGTTGTGTGCACATGAAAATGGTAACATAGTCAAATGTTGTGTGCACATGAAAATGGTAACACAGTCAAATGTGGTGTGCACATGAAAATGGTAACATAGTCAAATGTTGTGTGCACATGAAAATGGTAACATAATCAAATGTGGTTTGTACATGAAAATGGTAACATAGTCAAATGTGGTGTGTACAACAATATGGTAACATAGTCATATGGGGTGTGCACATGAAAATGGTAAAATAGTCAAATGTGGAGCATCATAGGTTCCAATATCAATTAGAGGCTATAAAGAGCAGGTGTCACTCACCTCGGTCTATGTGTATCTTTAACAATGGAGTTTTCCAACAATTTTTTTAAAAGTATTTCCATTAAAATGAAGGGTTTGCCTCCAAATTTTATATCCTTTCTTTTTCCTGACATCATCTCAAAAGTATGTTTTACCTTTTGTGAAGCATCTAGATCATTAATATCTAAAAGATTTTATTGTTATTGTGTAATTTGACTTTCATATAAAATTATTAGTTTATAATTTGTATTAAAATAATATGATTCAAATAAGTTCAAAGATTTCAGGTTAATTTTAATTTCAAATTTTTTATCACTGAATTCTGTTTTAATATGAATACAAACAAACATGATATTCACACCTCGACAGCGTTTTACAACCGTGAGCACAATAAAAGCCAAAGAAAAAAATTCAATAAACCCAGGTTTATTTCAGTACAAAGTATAAAGTTAAGAATATATCTTCATATTAAAATAACATTAGCATTACAAGAAAGGGCAATAATACATGCCCCTTCACATGTTTACGCATGACATAACACCGTAAATTTTCATGAATTTATTACACAAAAATTATAAAAGGTTACATAAATAGTCTGAATCAAGTTGTATATATACATGTTGTATACAGATTTTACAAATGTCAAGTCTTAAAGTCATCTGACATAATGGGATTTTCTTGGGATCAAAGGATTAGGACACTTATAAGTACATTAAGCAAATCATTAAACAAGGTGTTTATATCTCTTAGTCTAGTCGAAAATAATAAATATAAGACTAACACTGCCTATTTTGAAAGCAGGAACTGATTATACAGTACTTGTGAATTTGAAAAATCTAAATTCTTCAAATGTCAGTATACTCACCTTTTACAACCCATAATAAATTATCGGTCAAATATTTTGCAAGATTGAATTTCCTATGTATAATGTGAGAAAAATGACACAAAATCCCACACCACCAATTCACCCCAACATAAACTATACAATTCTTCCTATCTCATTGTCCAGTAAATTGCCTCAATTATAATGAAATGACCAGTAAATTAATTTTCTAATTGAAAACTTGAAATATTTTTGACAGTATGTTAAAGGGATACTTTTATAACTATATCAAATTATAATGAAATGACCAGTAAATTAATTTTCTAATTGAAAACTTGAAATATTTTTGACAGCATGTTAAAGGGATACTTTTATAACTATATCAAAATAGAAATAAATCAATATTTTGAATATAATGGTCAATATTAATGTCCAATGGTCTTTTGTCATCAGATGAACTTAATAATTAATGATAATTTAATGTTTCTTAAAAGTCAAATTTGACAGATGTAACTTAATTAACTGGGAATATTTAAAAGTTGGTGACAGGTAGGGAATTAATCCAATAGCAATTATTACAAGGATGTTTTTAGGTTAAAAAATAATTACAGTGATATCTTCAAACAATGATCAATGTTAAAATTATCTGAGACTACTATAACACATATGTGTTATAGTAGTCTCAGAAATTATGAAGGTGTTTCAAGATGTATTAAAGTCAATTTAGCTATGTAACAAATGTGTAAAATAGTTTATTTAATCTGATAAAGAAATGTGTACATTGTGAAAACGCATATTTAGGCAAACAATTTCGTTTACCATTTTTTTTTTCAGTAGTTGATCCATGTTTACCTGAGTCCTTTGATCTTTTAACCGCAAAATACTTTTATCTTCTATGTGATTTCAAGTGAAAAGTAGTAAAACTGTGTAACTAATTCCGTTTGATCAACTAATCAATAATTGGTAAACAAATAAACTTAATTTAAACGTAAACATTATCTTACCTGAATAAGATTCCACGCAGCTGAAGAAAATAAACAGTGTTGTAAAAAATATTTGATATAAATTCCTGTGTATTGGGGTCATGTTTACCCGGCAGTTGTAACACTGTAAAACCACTTTAACCACAGAATTTCATCTTTTGTAATATTTTTTTGCGTATCAAAATTATAGAATTTAATCCAAAACATATTGAAAATCCCTGTCATACTGTTAATTTTGTTAAATTCATCTTTTCACATCTTACATTTATTCCAACTTGACCATGCTTTTCATATTTGTGAAATTGACAAACTGACGTCACAGTAAAAACCACATGTGGTCATCCTAGTGGGCGGGTCTTCAAAATAAAAGGAAGCGAAACGTATTTGAAGCACGCAGGTAAAGCCGAAAATACCTGTTATCGTAACAGTTGTAAACTTCTGTAACTCATAACTGTTTACTATTTTACAATGATTTACATGACCTTTCAGTTTAACTTTGGAAACATTTTACAAAAAAAGATTAATTATTGTAGGTTCACTGTAGTAAAGTGATTAAAATGTAGATTTGCTGTTTAAAACTCGAGGCCCATAGCAGCCTGCACAAATATATTTCATTTTGATAATATTTTTTTTTAAATTTTATCCAGAAACAAGTTAGTTCTTTTAAAGTAAGTAAACAGTTTTCCAGGTACTTTTTAGTATAAAGTATATATGTCTCTGTTTACAGTGAGTGCCTATTTATAGTTTTAAAGGAATTAGGCAAGACTTTTAAATTGGTCATTTGTCCAGTAATAATTCTGATGAGGAGCCAATTTAAATATGATAGCAGATGCGGATGCAGGATTTTGAAAAGGGTGGGGGGAGGAGGCGAATGGTCAAAGATGTCATTTAAGAGAGGTAACTCGTATAAGATTGAATGAGCTTAACATCCAGTGGCAAATATTTCAAGCATATTTAGGACAAGAACAGATTATCGGTATCAATAAATCCAGTAAGTAGGTTTTGCAGTGTGGGTCAACCATGATAAAGGGTATAGAGTGACAGGAGTAAAAGATAAGGGCATAAATTTGAGTTGGTAGAGGCCACCTATCAGAACACCTCAGAGTTGTTGCTACTGGGTTCTTTTACTTGCAGAGTGGCACTCTTCCTACAAAGGCATCAGATATAATGTTTGTATATCTTATATTGCTGGTCATTTCCACTGTTTGGGTACAGTTTCAATCTATTATAGTTAACTATAACAGTTTTCAAAATAATAGTCAAAATGCTTATATTGGTCAAAAATCTTCATCAAAGGGCAATAACTCCTTTATTACTTCAATTGATGGTTTCGGTTATATAAAGAAATTTAAATCTCCTGAATTGCTGATTAATTTTTCTGTTTCCATTGCCTGCCTTTCTTTTATAGTTTTCAAGAAAATAGGCAAAATACAAATGTACTTCAACAATTGCCAATCAGGAGCAATAACTCCAATAATTATGGTAGAGATTGAAAATCAAAGCGCGAAAGCGCTGTAAAGGCAGTTAATTACAGGTTGTGTGTATTTTAAGTCCAGTTATATCATTATCTTGCATAGTACAGTGTACTTATCAGAGGTGGCTTTCAGTATTTAAGATTTAGAGTTCTCTAATGATATTGAACAAGTTATATGAATGTCATATTCTGAGCACTATATGAAGGTGATTGTTCTCACTTGTTTATGAACTAGTGCATTATGTCCAGTTTGTACCTTTTTTATCTATGTTTATAGTCAAATTAGTTATCAAAGGTACCAGGATTATAATTTAATACGCCAGACGCACGTTTCGTCTACATAAGACTCATCAGTGACGCTCAGATCAAAATAGTTATAAAGTCAAACAAGTACAAAGTTGAAGAGCATTGAGGACCCAAAATTCCAAAAAGTTGTGCCAAATACGGCTAAGGTAATCTATTCCTTGGATAAGAAAATCCTTAGTTTTTCGAAAAATTCAAAAGTTTTGTAACAGGAAGTTTATAAAAATGACCATATAATTGATATTCAAATACTGTTTAGAATAAATGTACATTGCAACATGTCAACTCTTTCAATGACAATACTTTTTTAAGAAACTATAACTCCAAGCAAAATTATATTTCCAAGTTTAAAGTAATTTATGAATGAAAAAAGGAGTTCTTAATTAAGAAATAAAGTGATTCGCTGAGCGCAGCTGGATACACCCGCAGAGGTCCAACCCTGAACAGTTGGGGCAAAAATGGACACAATATTCAAGCTTGATACAGGTCTGAATTTGGATTGTAATTAAATATTTGACATATTATAGTTTCTGAATAAATGTAGTCAAAGAACTTGAAATCGGTTATATGAATTGAATTCATATTCAATTAAAGATTTCTTGCTGTTGTGCAATACACTGTGCTGTTGCGCAATACTTAATAAATCTGTTGCCAGACTATAAACAAATAAAGTTCAATTTCTTCTCAATGTCATATTTGAAATTTATGAAAATCTATAGGGAGATTACATCAATAGCTATAAATAATTCACCAAAGTTTCATGCGAACTGCTTAAAGCATTTTTGAGTTGTTGTCCAACAAGAGTGCACACGCTGAAATGTCTCGCCTTCTTTACTAATCACTGATATTATGTTGATAGTCCTTAATATAAAGCTTTATTACAACTGTCACATAAACTTAACATTAACCAAGAAAACTAAACATTGACCAATGAACCATGAAAATGAGGTCAAGGTCAGATGAACCATGCCAGGCAGGCATGTACAGCTAACAATTCTTCCATACAACAAATATAGTTGACCTATTGCTTATAGTTTAAGAAAAACAGACCAAAACACAAAAACTTAACACTGAGCAATGAACTGTGAAAATGAGGTCAAGGTCAAATAAAACCTGCACGACTGACATATAGATCATAAAATATTTCCATACACCAAATATAGTTGACCTATTGCATATAGTATTAGAAAAAAAGACCAAAACTCAAAATCTTAACTTTGACCACTGAACCATGAAAATGAGGTCAAGGTCAAATGAGACCTGCCAGCTAGACATGTACACCTTACAATCATTCCATACACCAAATATAGTAGACCTATTGCATACAGTATAAGAAACACAGACCAAAACACAAAAACTTAACTATAACCACTGAACCATGAAAATGAGGTCAAGGTCAGATGACACCTGCCAGTTGGACATGTACGCCTTAAGGTCCTTCCATACATCGAATATACTTGACCTATTGCTTATAGTATCTGAGATATGGACTTGACCACCAAAACTTAACCTTGTTCACTGATCCATGAAATGAGGTCGAGGTCAAGTGAAAACTGTCTGACGGGCATGAGGACCTTGCAAGGTACGCACATACCAAATATAGTTATCCTACTACTTATAATAAGAGAGAATTTAACATTACAAAAAATGTTAACTTTTTTTTCAAGTAGTCACTGAACCATGAAAATGAGGTCAAGGACATTGGACATGTGGCTGACGGAAACTTCGTAATATGAGGCATCCATATACAAAGTATGAAGCATCCAGGTCTTCCACCTTCTAAAATATAAAGCTTTTAAGAAGTTAGCTAACGCCGCCGCCACATCACTATCCCTATGTCGAGCTTTCTGCGACAAAAGTCGCAGGCTCGACAAAAACTGGAAAATCCCCCCTTTTTTAATGAATAAAACCCCATAACTCAGAAATGTAAAATCTAAAATTTATAAAATTCTAAAGGGAGCTTACGGATTGATAATTTAGTCTTAGATGCAAGATTTTTTTATCAGTTGCTAGTGGCTTTGAACTAGCTGTCAGTAACTTTGAGTACTCTCAGATCTGTACTTAAGTGTCTTTTTGTTGTTTGGATGTACAACTACCCGACCACATCCACTTGTATTTATCCATCTGATGAGTTAAGCCTCTTTCAACTGATTTTTATAGTTCGTTCTTATATTGTACTGTTACACCACTGTCCCAGGTTAGGGGGAGGGTTGGGATCCCGCTAACATGTTTAACCCGACACATTCTGTATGTACATGTATGTGCCTGTCCCAAGTCAGGAGCCTGTAATTCAGTGGTTGTTGTTTGTTTATTTATGTGTTGCATATTTGTTATATTCGTTCATTTTTTGTACATAAATTAGGCCGTTAGTTTTCTTGTTTAAATTTTTTACATTGGAATTGTCATTTTGGGGCCTTTTATAGAGCTCTGACTGTGCGGTATGGGCTTTGTTCATTGTTGAAGGCCGTACTGTGACCTATAGCTGTTAATTTCTGTGTCATTTGGTCTCTTGTGGAGAGTTGTCTCATTGGCAATCATACCACATCTTCTTTTTTATATTTACATCAACAGATATAAACAATTCACCAAAGTCAAGGTGAGACAACAAAACTTAGTGGTAAGATCTCTGAAATGTTTTACACGGTACAAGTTTTTCTCATTGTTGGAGATTGTACGGTGACAGTAACACCTGTAACTGCTTAAACCCATTAATTTCTTATGCACTTTAGTTGGATAAACTCACTGAATATCATACCACATCTCCTTATTTTTATATGCATTACAATTTACATGTGCATGTAATTATAAATATATATATATATATCAGAACAAAATTCATTGCGTCACTTTTATTTATGCATCCTTTGGCACAATACAAGTTCTAAAATTACACAACATAGTACAACTAAATGTTATTTCAGATGAAAGTTTTGTTTCAGTTCCATTCATAGGATTTATTAGAATTTTGTATGTTTTGCCTAGTCTAATAATTCGCTCTACATTGTGTATGTGCACATGTTAATTGGAGACTTTTCTATCCCGTATAAGAGTTTTGGAACTAATTCGGTTTCTTTTTTTGAAAAAAGTTAGCAAACAAATCTTGCACATTTAAACCTTTGTCTGCCATCACACTGTCACCTGGATCACATAATTGAACTATTCTACATCTTTCAACTATTTCATAGTCACTGGTAGAACCAACATATGCATTAGAGACATAGTTGACTAAACCACCAGGTGTCGAACATACAAGTATTTTCAGTGTTTCTGTTTTTATATGATGAAAAGGTTACCTGAGCTCTAGGAGCTTTAGGTTTTATCACGGGATATTCTGTGCTGTCAATAATAATCCAAGTCGTAGGAACTTTTAATTTGAAGTTGGATGGTGAAAAATACCTGACTAAACCACTAGATGGCCAAGTGTTAGCCTCACACCACTGTTTAGACATAAAAACAATCCATGTATACACAATATTCTTAACACTAGATTCAATCTAGAATCTAGAAAGTTCAAAGTTGGTAGTATAATGCCTCAATTTCATCAAAGTCATAAAAAAACTGATTTTCAACTGACACCCTATCAATTTGAAAATATATGTATCTCAAACAATGTGCTGCTGGACCAAGTGTGGTCAAAACAAATAAAAATTTAGTATACAACTCTAAACCGGTATAAAAATGCATGGCTGTGTCACTTGTCTTCATTTCAAAATTCTCTGCTGAAAACATAGGCATTGATGGTGTTTGCATAATTCCATCTGTGAAGCTCAACATTAGCTCGGCAGTTGGTGGTGGACAGTCATAAATCCTTTCTGCAGTATGAATGAATTCTTCAGGAAAACCAACTTTACAATCAAAACTTTCCTCTAGATTTCTACTACAATATTCATCAAGTTTAGTTCTTTTGTTTTCACAGGAAACTGCCCTGATTTTTCTTTTTGCGGACGATTCAGTCTCTTGTTTGGTCCAGGAAAATAGGCTGGGAATGGCAGTAGACTTAAGTCTCTGAATGGTGGGTTTGCGCCCTGAAAAAGGTTATAAAACATTAGTTTTTTGATAATTAAATGAACTTCCATTAGCAATGTATAATTTGTATTACCTGGCGAAATATTAACTAGATTTATTCATTACAATCTGGATAAAACTATGTTTGCCTGATTCAATGTATGTTATGTAAATCCAAAGGACAAACAATGAGAGGCTTATGCAACAAACGTACATTGTTTGTACCTAAATAACTATAACATAGATGAGAGCATGTCATTGTTTTGTTCCTGTTAACATTGTCATTGATATTTTTCAAGAAAGTCTATGAGGCATAGCTTATGCATTCCTGTCATTACTACATTAGCATAATTACTGCTAAAATAATTCTCAGTATGATATACCTCTTGTAAGAAATCTTTATAATTGTAGCAATCACCAAAAAATCTCAAACAGATCACATTGAATCGTAATCCAAAAAATTATGACGTCTTGAATTAACCACCCCCTTTTATTCTAAAACGATAATTGCGGTTGTAAACAGACTTTGGTTTATTCGCATGGCGATTACATATATAATTATATATTTCAAAAAGAAAATAGAGTTTTACCATGAATAGTTTCCTGCACGTAGTCTTTTTCAGTAAAATGTGCCTTGCAAACAACAGCTGATCGAGATGGACTCCACGATTTCATCGTGTTCTCGTCCAATCTGCGTATGGGCCATGGCGTTGATCCAACTTTTCCTTCTTTTTAAGTCATTTGGAAATGCATGTCCTCCTCTTAAATGACATCCAGGTACACAACAACAAGTACTTGGCATCGTTAATTAAAAATGTAACTGAAATAGTTGCACAGCGCAGAAACCGGAAGTTGAGGAACAGGATCGGCTACCACGGCGCCACCTATTCAGGGACGATAATTTGCTACTTTACATAACTGCGAAATAACAATAACGTTAGACGGGTTCACGTGCATAAACAGAAACGCGCTTTAAATTGTATAATATAATTCATGTTGAGTCGACCTTTAATTATTATATCAACGACTGAAATGATTTATAAACATATAGATTGCAGATAACACTCGAAATTAACCCGAGCTCTTTCCACACGGAATTCAAATAATTCTAGTTTGTCAATCGGTTGACTGCTTATAATGCAAAATACAAATATATCAAAAGTTTTTAAAACTAACAAAACACAATGATCGTTTCTCTATTTCCCAATGTAAATGAAATGAAACAAAAACATTTTATATCACAAAAAGAAGAGGAGAGAATTCAACATTTCCGGATCTACTTGGAGGCTAACGACCCCCACGTAGATAAGTTGGATATCGCGGAAGGAAGGATTAACCCGGCAACTAGAAAGGCATTAAAGCACTGCCTTTAAAAAAGTAGATCTTAACATAATGAGAAATTTTTTCCCTGTTTAGAGAAATACTAGTACTAGCATTTTATTTATTTATAGCCATAATAATTTTTGATACATAAATCGTAGAGTAATATTATAATATCTTGAATATTTCATGACTTAGGCTATTTTACTGAATAAAGATTTTGAATTCTTCTTCAAATTTTTCTCTTTTGTCAATACTTATCAAGTCACAGTGCATATTCAAAATATGATGATAGTAGATTGGTGTTTAACATCCAGTGGCAGTTATTACATGCATATCAGAAGATCATGTTAATGTGATATAAATTTGAACTTTGCTTTGTACTTGACCAACATCATCATTAAATTGGATTTTTAACGTGCTAGTTCACAAGATAACAGTACGCAGGAAGACATACCATTCCTGTGTGGGACACATTATTCTTACGTCGAGGCAACAAGTCTCTAACTCCTAAATGCTGCATGTTAAGTATTGAAGCAGCAAATACATTTTTTTTTCTCTAAGGGATCTAACCAATGATGAACCAACAAATGACCTCCCGCAAGTTCTACAACAAGTCATTCAAAATAAATGGACAGACTGATATCTTGATTCTTGTCTCTCTCTAGGCTGTCACTTCTCTTTGTACACTTTCTTAACCAGGCTCCTCCACATGTTTTTAGGTTTTCCCCATTTATTTTTCTTTCAACATTCAATCAAGGAACAACATTTCCTAATCAGTTTTCATTCATACTCATATCTCTGTCTTTGTCATTACATATTTGGCTATTTCCTCCTCAAAGGTATCTGCTACTTCATAACTGACTTATCAATTATTGTTTTTTTATTTGAAAAAACACACATTGTGGTTAGGTTTTATATTTGAAAAAAACTTACATTATAGGTTCATTTGAAATTGTAAAGATGTATGAAAATGGTATCTGAAAGGGTAAGGGTAACATCATATTAACTAATACAGGAAGAGTATTGTTAGTATGATCAGCGACATTAGTAGGAACATATTTACTAATTGATATCTCTTTTATGAGTCACTTAAATTAAGCTGTAAGCCTACCCAAAAGTTAACATACTTATTTCAAACCTGAATCTAAGGATTGGTAAAACAGTATCTTAATTCATACAAGTGAAAATATCATCAATTGTTTCTTTGTCAACACTGTGAATACAAATGAAAGAATTTCATAAAAAAATAAAGCAATTTTAAATTGTATGACTCGTGTCACGCATGATAGTTAATCTTGCATGTATGCAAGGAGTATCAAATGGTATTATATGGTATAAGTTAGCTATACTTACAAGGCTGTTGATGTTTTTATTGAGAAAAAAAAAATATGACTGTTTCAATTGAAATGGACATTGATTTGCTTCACAAGCATTTTTGACATTATTTAAGGGTTTCTTTGTTCCTAGTTTACATTCTGGAAAAAAAGATTACTTTTTCTATAACTGTTTCATTTTGAATGGAAATTTATTGGCAAGCATTTTTGGAATTGTTCAAGGGTTTCCTTCTTCCAGGTTTACCTTATCTGTAGTAATGTATACATAAACAGATTACAATTACCAGTAATGCAATTACATCATAGAGATCATTTCATATAATGTTTTGCATAAAAAAAATGAAAAAAGAATGTAAAGAGAAGAAAGGTTCATGAACAAAAACCTTAGACAATAAATTATAAAAATATCTTCAGAATAAAAAACACTGTAATCAGATAACACAGGGGAGAGAAAGATTATGAAAAAAAGAATAACTGCATTAAACAATCTCTACAGGGCATTTTTTTTTTTTCTAATAATTTAAATAACATTAAACTTTGAAGATCCTCTTACTTAAAGATCTTCAAATGTAATACTTACAAATTTAAAATAAAAAAACAAAGACCTGTAACATCCACTGATATGATCTGACATGATTATACTATTATATCATAATACTTCAAAGAAATAAGAAAACGATCTTTCATTCAAATATAACTCAAGTGTTTGTAAAATCTGACAAAGATTTGATATTATTAGATTTGATATTAAATGATATTAAAATTTTCGTCTATTCTGTATTTTCTTAAGCTTTTAGTTCAAAATCTCCAAAGTGTTATGTATATATCATGCAGTCTAAGTTCAGAATAAATATGTACAGTAGAATAAATATTATTCTACTGTACTTGAAATATTTAAGATTTTGAATTGGCATAAAAAAAGTATGCATGAAAGGGTGTTCAAGAGTTATTTTCAAAACTTCCAAGGCAATTCTTTTTTTTAAACAGCCCTTAGGAGTAAAAAGTATAAATATATATATGTACTGCACTTACTTTGTTTCTGCTCAGCACAGTCACAGTTTCAGTCCTAAAATTAATTTTTCTCTATAACACTGACTGATTTCCAAAGTTATGGAAGGGCGTGGTATTTGACCTACTTTGGTACAGGGATGCCAATTGGAACTCCCAAACAGCTTTTCAGTTAAATACCCATTTAGACATTTTTGATTTTAGATTTGCTCATGTATCTGATATTTAGGGAGCAGGATCAAATTAATTGAATGAATATTACTTATAGAATAGAGAATGTAAACAGGGAATGTGTCAAAGAGACAACAACCCAACCAAAGAGTAGAAAACAGTCCAAGGCCACCAATTGGTCTTCAATGCAGCTAGAAAATTCAGCAGCTGGCCCCTAAACAATAATGTATACTAATTCAGCAAAATGGACGCCATACAAAATTGAAACATACAAATGAACAAATTAAAAAAACACACAAAACTAACAAAGGCTAGGATTTTCTGACTTGGGACAGGTAAACAAATGTGGCAGGGTTTAACATGTTTTGTGAGATCTCAACCCTCCCCCTATACCTCTAGCAACATACTTATTGACATCTCATTTTTATTTTCTTGCTGTCAGAGGTTCTGATGATTATATTAATGGATCCAATAGCTCTTCTTAAAGAAGTTTCCTTACAGAATAACAATAGATAAGAAAAAGATTATTTAGTACTACGCTGTAGCGAATTGTATTCCCCTGCTGTCTAAATGATGACTAAACATGAATATTGTTCCTTCAAATAAAATTCATACCACACTTTAAAATACCTTTTGAGGAGTATATTACACAGGGAAATTACACTCACATGAATTTCACGTGAATTTAAATTCATGTGAAATTCACATGAATTTCACCTCAAACGAGCTTATACATTTACATGAAACTCACATGAAAGCAGTTCATGTGAGTTTCACGTGAATCTCATGTAAAAACTCATGTGAATTTCACATGAAAATCACATGAAGGCCATGTGAATTTAAAACAGTTATTCAAATAACATCTGAACTTTCAAATTCAATTAAAATCATGAAAAATACCAGTCTTTTTTTTTTGGTAAAGTTCACACGAAATTGACATGAAAAATTTCACATGAGATTCTCAATTCACGTAAAATTCATATGAAAATTACCACGTGAGTTTCATGTATAAGCTCTTTTGAGGTGAATCTCATGTGAAATTTTTGACGTGAGATTCATGTGAAATTCATGTTCTAGAGCACCTGAGCTCATCCTCGGTTTTTAATAGGGTTTGTGTTGCTTAATCTTCAATTTTCTGTGAAGTGTTTTGTAAACTTTTGTTTGTTTTTTTTCTTTTGGTCATGGTAGTGTCTTTCTTACAAGATCTGGTTTTTGATTACCTCTTGGTACATATTTTTTCAAATCTTTGTCCTTTGGTCTTTATGAACAGTTGTCTCATTGGCAATTACACCACAGCACTTTATTTTTATAGAAAGTGCTCTTAATATTACTAGGTAGTATCATTGTTTTTTAATTTTAACCACCTCTGAACTTTGACAGACTGCTGAATAACCAGTCTGAAACTAATATCAAACTGAAAAAAATACTTTACCTTGCTATCAAAGGTGGGGCATAAAAATAAATAAATAAAATATTTTTTAATGATAACAAATGTGACATTTTCCCTACTGACCTGGATTTCTAACAGAAACATTCTATATTCAATCAGTTCTATCCATACATACAGGTTTTCTTACAAATATCAGTAACTTTTCATTTCAATACTAATAATTTCATCCAAATCTACAGACTTTGAAGTACATCCATTGCCTGAATAAAAGGTTTTTTACCAATTTTCTCTCTATTTTAGCTCTAATTGTTTTGTGTTTTCAAGTTTTGATGTGTTGGGTTTTACACATAATGGATGTACCTTTGACAATTTCTTTATTCTTTTGTCTTTCATTCATGTAGCCACATTGAAACATTTTATTGTCATGAAATCATATAGATTTCATTCTCTTCCATAAGATTTTCAATAAAAAAACTTTACAAAAAAAAATGACTGAATGCAGAATTGGATGAAATCTTGGAAACAGCTTTCTATTTCAGACATGATTAAAAATTTAAATAAAATTTGAAAACTTCACAACACAATTCTAAACAGTAAACTATCACAAGGAGGAGTGCGTAAATTACAACATGGTTTACTGTAGAAATAATCACAGCTTTGGTAATGAATAATATTCACTTAGCAACACTTTTACCAAAACTTTTTCTCAAACAAAATTCAATAGTTTTTTTTCTCTAACATACACACACATATGTACAACGAGAAAGAGTTTATATAACTTCCCTTTAGTAATCCTCTGAATCAAATGACTATTTAAGTTGCCAAATTTGTATATATTGATTCCACAAAATGACCGAATTTTTAGATCAAATTATAATTTGCAAATTTCAGATTCAATATACTAGTAGTGTTATTGCTTTTGAAACAATAAAATTATTTTAGCTTTTTAACATGAAACCAGAATTTCATTTTAATATATTTATTGAATTTGAAATCATAATAGTATTTGTTTATTTTCATATTGCAAACAAAGCTATGAATGCTTTTTGATAGATAACAGAGAAATTTATCAGTACTTTTGGTAAAATATTCAACCAGCAAAAAAAGTTGAAATGGACAAATTTTCCATAGAAACAACTACTATTAATCTTGCCCCTTCTGAATTTTAAACCAAAAGCTTTCTCTCATTTGCTATAGAGATGTTTACTACGGTGGATTGGCTTTTATTCGTAGGATACCAATGATTGTGGATTTCGTGGGTAAAGCGGAACCATGACTGTTCAAAGAAGTACAAACTTTCTATGGATTATATTCACACTTTGGCAAAAACTAAATCAAATATCCAAGATAAAATAAGTTTTCCTCAATCCCAAAAAATTGGTACCCACAAAAATTCATGAATCCACAGTATTTCTATAAGCAGAGTTAGCCAAGATATATTTCTGAATGAGTTTCACAATTACTACATCCATGTCACGGGTAAAGAAATGGACACAGGGATGAAATGATAAGTCATCAAATATGACCTGTTTACATGATATACAACCTTTTCTTATACAACATTATATCAAAAATAATCTGAAATAATATACTTTAGTAATGTTTTGGATATAGTGATACAATTTTACATGGAATCATTTTCTGACTCAAATGAACAGAACCTTTCACACACAATTTTGTATAGTCCTAAATGAACAGAACCTTTCACACACAATTTTGTATAGTCCTAAATGAACAGAACCTTTCACACACAATTTTGTATAGTCCTAAATGAACAGAACCTTTCACACACAATTTTGTATAGTCCTAAATGAACAGAACCTTTCACACACAATTTTGTATAGTCCTAAATGAACAGAACCTTTCACACACAATTTTGTATAGTCCTAAATGAACAGAACCTTTCACACACAATTTTGTATAGTCCTAAATGAACAGAACCTTTCACACACAATTTTGTATAGTCCTAAATGAACAGAACCTTTCACACACAATTTTGTATAGTCCTAAGTATCATGTAAAACACTATACTACAATAACTTAATAGGCACACGAACTTGGATTACAAAACACTCTCTCTATCTCCTCTTTACAGAAATAACTAGTTATAATTTATACATGATTATATACTCTATTATTTAGGAACTCAAATAACAAATTACCATGCCAAAAATTTCAGTGAATAAAGATGCTTTGCTATACACAAATGCTTCATAAATGCACAAATGTTACTATATTAAAATTCTTTAGTGTTTAAAGAAACATTGTAAGTTGACTGGACAAATTTTTACATTTATGTAATCAATAAGTGAGCTGGTTACATTCTGAATATAATTCTTTTAAAAAGATAAATACATCTTTTAATTTGTTGCCATATTTCTATACAAATAAATTTATATTAATATATAAATGTACTGCAGATACAACATTCTTACTAGTGAAAGCTATTTCACTTTCAATTTAAAAATTTAAGTATGCATTCAGTAAGAATAATTAGATATGTGTTGTGTATTAAATACACCATTCAAAAATTAAGTTTATAAATTTGTCATGCAAAACTAGAAATAAATGATTTTTCAAAACAGAGGTTTAAATGTCTAATTACTTGCTTTGAGAACAAAATTACTTTGATAATATCACAAAGCCTTGTCATACTTTAAGCTAGATAGACACTGTTTAACTGAGTATCCAAGGGGTGGTCCGATCTTTAATTTGTTTCCTGTTACATTTGTCATCAAACATTTCCACAAAACTGAGAATTTGTAATTGTTTCTTAAACATGCACTTGCTTAAATATATTTTATCAAATTGTTAATATGATACCTATGAAATATACCATAATTTTCAATAATTCATGAATCAAAAGATTTTTTTTAAATATTTGAGTAAGGGAGATAACTTTTGTACATATGTTTTTAAATCAAGGGGAGATAATATAACACTTTATACTATTTGATGTAACAGCAGGAAAACAAGAACAGGTTCCCTGTTGTTTTTCATTTTATTTCCTTAAAGAACTGATCTAAATAAAATTTCTATAATTAAGTTCTACAGATACATTTTTGTTTTATTATTTGACAAAGAATTATTTCCCCTATATTATCTATATTAAATTGTTATTTTTTTAAATCCATAATTCTCTTTAATAAAGCGTTTGGTGACCTTTTTCATATTGGATTTGAAATCCATACTTTCAACTCTGTTTCATGAAAATTTGAGAAAAATTTAAGCTATAATACTATAAGTGTCCACCTTAATGTATATCATATATATAAGAATGGGTTGAAAAAAATTTACACATGCTAGTAGATAACAATTTAAGGTTCTACTGTACAAATATATACAATTCTAAACTACAATGTAATAGCCCTATATTTTTTATATAAAGGTCATATAAAATAAATCATCTGGTTCTCAAATTTTCTTTAAAAGAAAGGGGGATTCAATTTCTATATTTACCATAAATTTACTTTTTGACCATGAAAAATACAAAACTGACTACCGGTATACTATAAACAAAAAGCCTCAATCTAACCAACATTTTTTAATTCATCAAGTGTTCCCCTGATCTCAAATCTTATTGTTATGTGGTGATATCCTTTGGCATTCCTAAAAACCTTAAGCAAAATACTTGAAAGAACCACTGAAGTATGGATGTCCCTACTGCTGTAGGGATTTACAATAATTTCAAGTCGAGATATTTCCAATTTTCATATATTCTATATTTACCATAAATTTACTTTTTGACCATGAAAAATACAAAACTGACTACCGGTATACTATAAACAAAAAGCCTCAATCTAACCAACATTTTTTAATTCATCAAGTGTTCCCCTGATCTCAAATCTTATTGTTATGTGGTGATATCCTTTGGCATTCCTAAAAACCTTAAGCAAAATACTTGAAAGAACCACTGAAGTATGGATGTCCCTACTGCTGTAGGGATTTACAATAATTTCAAGTCGAGATATTTCCAATTTTCAAGTCTGACAAGAATTTCATATAAATGGACAGTTCTCTAAATCATTTTCCCCTGGTACTCCTTGAATAAAATCTGCTAGTCCTCACTATTTTTTCTATTGCAAAATACCAAAATTGTGTCAGTCCTTGCAAAATTTTGGTGGTCAAAAGACTCAAAACCTTCGAACCACCACTTCTGAGAACTCTGGATTAACGTTTAATTTTGTCTTCAAATCATATAAGCCAGAACCTAATTTTGTTCGTTGAGAAACTAAGATCCAGATAATTAATTTTGTATGACCTAAGAAAATTACAATAACACACTATCACAGAAAATAACAAATAATTTAGCACACGGTTGAAATGCAACAAAATTACATATCTATGGTATCATAATAAATATATCAAGTCACACCGTGGGCAAAAAATCAGAAAAAAGTACACATTTTTTTTGCTGTAATAGCTTGTTACTGATTGATTGCTGGTTTCCCCCGATTTAGTAATAAATATTTCATCTGTAAGTAAGCTGACAATTTGTAACTATAAAATAGTGCTAGTACGGATATAGGTAAAATTTAAAGTATTTATTTCTGAAGATTATTTTACAGAATTAACTGAAAAGAAAGCACCTTCATTCAAGAAAATATGAATAAGAAAACATGATCTTTATATAACTTAAAAAAAGCCATGCTGTTAATTTTTTGTTTTTTTATTCAGCATAATAAATTGTGAAAACTGCCATACACATTGATTTGAAAGCACTTCAAGAAAGTTTATATCAAATATTTGTTTTTTAAAATTGATTGTTGTTGATAAATTTCTCTACTAGATTATGTACTTAAGTACTGTAACCTTTATCTAACCATTATTTTAACTCATCAAGTGTTTCGGCAATAAAAAAAAATGCTAGTATCTATTGACAAAACTGTGCAGGTGGAATTCAGACAGGTCCAAGTTATCTGAAACAAATGTTTTAAAGTAACAAATTTTCCAAATTGCTCTTAAAAATATCTAAATTAAACCAACCAAATGTAAGAAAAGTTAGGTACACGTGGTTTCATGCTTATGTTCATAAAAAGCTGTGCAATATTCAAGCAGTAAACTTTGACATAAGGATTTGGTTTTGCTTTACATTACCTAAGAAAAGCATTTGTTTTTTTTATATCCAGTTACAAATATATGACCCATTCATTCTCTTTCAAACCTAAAGTGAGGACTTGCTATCTAGCTAAAACTGCCCTATAATTTTAATGATTGCACACATTATACACTCCAGCATACAAACTACATAATAATCATACAATAATTAACCACATCAAGAGATGACTATTTGAAATAAAACTCCATGGTTTACAGCAGGCTTTGAAAATCTTATATCATAATTATACCCAGATCACCTAAAATCAACTGAAATTCTCTATCTTAATTCTTATTTGTATCACTAAAAAATGTATACTTAATTCAAAAGGTAATGAATAAATCTATTCTTCACTATTCAATATAACTTTTGCATTAGAAAAAATATGGCATTAAAGCATTTCAAAATAACAGCTCAGTATACTCTTAAAGCAAACAAGAGAAGACATAGTGCAACATTTTTCTGTGAAATTGTATAGTAAGATGTATTAAGACTTGAAAAACTGAAAAAATGTGACACTTTCTGTGTAGGCTTACGTCCTATTAAAGGGTCTATCAAAAGGGAAAAATTTTAAATAACCATGATTTTCTTAATCTACATATCCTATGATAATTGTCAATGAGCACCACTACAAAATACAATTTTACATATTCTGACTTTATAACAAAGTCATAACATCAAACACCAATAAATATCAATCAAAACATCACATCACATAATCACATATACTACAACAGCCTTATACTATAGAAAATACGAGGTGTGCCATTGACAACAGATAAATTTCTAAAAACAACCCTATCTACTATTTCCTGTGGTGATAACATTAGGTTCTGTGTTGTGACAACAGTTGTCTATGAGCAGTCATCTCTGTCGGTGTAAGTGGTTGAGCATCGTCTGTCATCCTGTGGATTGGTGGATTGGATGATATGTGTCTGCGTCTTCTCACTGGTATCTTCTCTTTGGGTTGTCTGTCATTGTCTGGAGTAATTCCATGAGCTAGATCAGTGATCTGTGTAGATGTTTGTCTGTCGCCATCAACAGATGGAATGTCTGATAGAAGTATAGCTGAACTTTCATCATCTTCACCCTTGTTATCAATGACATACTTGTCATCAATATCAGGGACTACCTGTAGAGGCCCACTTATACTAGACATCGCTTTCCTGTCAAACAATAATCGTAAATTAAAAACAAATATATCATAATCAGTGCTATTTTGTATTTTAATGTCAAACAATGGACCCATCATAGATGGATTTTTTTAATAGAAATTTAAATAATGATAAGAATATCAATGTTCTTTTAAAATACATAATTGAGTTCATAAAAGGACACATTAAAAACAGTTATCAATGAATGCAACATGCATGTTTCTCCCAATTATCAAACAATGAACCTGGCCTAGAAACTTAATAGGATTAAAGCTCCCCCTCATGGCCCAGTATTGAATGTTGATGAAGTAAGGATGTTATACAGGTGCTCTATGAATGTACATACTTTAAGACTAGAGCTCTACAGTGTGAAAATCTTTAAAATTTCTTGTCATATCCTGATTTGGACACTCCACCTCTGATCTCAAAGAGGGTAAATAGTTTCTTTCATGATGATAATATTTTAATAATTAGTAGTCATATCTGTGTTTTATTTAAGTTTCTGTTAACATTTTTAAAAGGTCATGTTGTGATTTTGACACTCCGACCGGGACCATTAAGAGGGTAAATAGTTTCTTTAGTCATATCTGTGTTTTTATTTTAAGGTGTATGTAAGTACAGTTAACAAGTATATCTAGTAACATTAGAGATTTTGTGTTTAAAAGAGGTAGTAATGAAAGCATCTCTCACATCACTTATAAAGTTTTGTAGCAAGTTATTTCACAAGACCTTTCTTTCTGCAATGAAACTAATTTCTCATAAATATTTGCCAAATAATGTAAGACTTAAAATGTAATACACTCACCATTTATCAAGAAGAGACTGTAACTGTTCTATGACCTCTAAAGCTGTCAAACGTTTTTCAGAGTCCAAGGTCAAAAGGTTTTGAATGATATACTTAGAATCTTCAGAAACTCTGCCATCACTGAAATTAAAGAAATTTACTTTCTAGCATTGACGATATTACTTTCGCTCTATTACAGATATATTTCAAAGTGAGTCAATATTTACGTAAGCTTTTGCAACTCGCACCTACCACTTTGTAGGCTGAAACCTTCTACTTACAATCTATAACATATAGGATACTTATTTTTTTCAAATAGGGAAAAGCTAATATCAATGATGTTTAGAAATAGAATTCTTGGTATGTTCTGCAGGGTTCTCATCACAAATTACAAACAGTATCCTGGTGAACATAAAGTTTTACAATTGCGTCTTGTTTTAAATTTTTTTTTTTTACATATTTTCACAATAAGTCTTTACATATGTGATAAAATGTAGTGAAAGTTTCAACTGTTTTCAGTTACCACAGAAATTTTGTTAAGCATCAGAATATAAGATTATTTGTATGATATGTGGTTACAATTGTCAACTCTACTAAAAATAATCAGACATTAGTTGTTGAACTATATTAAATGCATTTTCTTGTCAAAACAAAAAAAATGACAATGGATAGGACACATGCTATAAATTTAAAATAATAAACAGACTTCTTTAGCTGTATAAGTAAACATACTATATAGAAAAATGATTGTTTTTTTCTTAATGTATACATGAATACTTTAATGATTTAACCATATAGTTTTATCTTACTCCATGAATGTACTGATAAAGTATGAATGGACCAAGACCATATTACTATTCAGGCTATTTCTACTGAATTATTTTAACTTTAGACAAAAGATGCATTTTGTAAAGCTGAAATTTGAGGCTGTGTTGATTGGAGTATTCAAAATAAATAATCATACCTTGGCATAGTAAACTCTGCTGCTTTGATCTTCCTGAATAATTCCTGTGGCTGACTGTCATAGAATGGAAACTGTCCATACAACATAGTAAATAATACAACACCAAGGGCCCACATGTCACTTGGTTTGCCTAGATATGGTTTGCCTAAAATTATACAAAACATAATAAATAATACAACACCAAGGGCCTACATATCACTTGGCTTGCCTGAAATTATACACAACATAGTAAATAATACAACACCAAGGGCCCACATATCACTTGGCTTGCCTAGATATGGTTTGCCTAAAATTATACAAAACAAAATAAATAATACAACACCAAGGGCCCACATATCACTTGGCTTGCCTGAAATTATACACAACATTTTAAATAATACAACACCAAGGGCCCACATATCATTTGGCTTGCCTAGATATGGTTTGCCTAAAATTATACACAACATTATAAAAAAACAGTGTTTCAATGTTGCTAGTGTAAACCTTTGAAATAAATTTCATGAAAATTTGACAAGAAATGTAGGCATGACAAAGCTTACAATGCAATGTTCAATATAAAATACATATCAAAGGGACATAACTCTAGTAAAAATAAATGTCAATCATCAGAGCTGATTTTCAAGGTCATCCTGGACATTCCTGATATAAACCTTAATTGTAAAATTCATAACAATACTAAATGAAATGTACGTATGAGAGTGCTTACAATGCAATTTTCCATAAAATTTGTATTTCCAAAGGCCTAACTCCATAATGAAAAGTTGATTGGCACTGATCTTTCGAACTAATCTGAGACTTTGCTGATATACCGGTAAACCTTATATATACATGCACCTTGCCATGCAGCACCGTCCCTTGGTGGCTTTTGCAGTTAAGTTAAATATCCAATACATTGCCAATTTATTTTAAGAACTTTTTCATGTTGGGGTGTACCTGAGAAAGAGGGAAACACTGTTGAACACATATTTATATATATTTATATATGTGTGTAGTTCATGATGTTCAAACAGCTTTTTCTTTTCTTTGCATGTATACCAGACTATTCTTGTTTCTTTTTGTTATAGTCTTATTAATGTCTTATATTGTATTATGCTCATTGCATTTAATGAAAATAAAATATCTTCTATACATTTCATAAAAATCTTGGGAGAATTGTGCACTTTTGAGAGTGCTTACAATGCAAATTCCTTTAGAATTTTACATTTCCAAGGGACATAACTCCTGTAAAAATAATTGATCAGTGCTGATTTTTGAACTTGTACCATACATTACTGAAATGAATCTTTGATAAAAAATTAATAACAATCCTACAAGAAATATTAGCTTTAGAGCACTTACAATGAAATTTCCATACAATTTATATTTCCAAGTGAAATAACTCCTTTAAAAATCTTTGGCACTTATTTTTGAAATTGTTCAAGACATTGCTGATGTTAACCTATGACATATATTTCATAAAAATCTGGCGAGAACTGTAGGGATAAGCACTCACAAGACTAATGGACAGATGGAAATTTCACATCACAAAGAAAATGACCATAAACCAAAACTTAAACCTGATACAGGACAAAAGTGCGGAATCACACAGACCAGAAAAAATAGTACCCACCACCACCACCAACAACTCTTAATATTGTAGCCTAGTCATAAAAGACAAAGGAAGCACAATATTTTATAAAGGGAAGAAGTGATATGATGAGTTTTACTTGAATATTTTCAATTTTTTGGGATAGAAGTCTGTATTGCAGATATACCACTATATTAGGAAAAATCAAGGTAAAACAGATTGTAGATATTTTAGTGAAAAAGGGGATTCCCCTGAACTGACTCTATTCATACAAAGTATTCTGTTGTCCAAACATCAAATATAAATTTAAACAATAGGATTAAACAAAAGATTTTCCCATAAGATGTATTTATAATTTTATAATAAATATTTATCAATGTTTGTGTTTTTAACATTTTACTTTTCAATTTTAATTAATTTATTTTTTTACTTTCAGTTCCACTTTCTATTTACTTTTTTTTTTACATTTAACTTTTCTATTTCTTATTAAAAATATTTTTTTACTTTTTCGTTTTTATCTTTTATTTTTTATCTATATTTTGATTTTCACTCTTATTTATTTTTTAACTTTCACATCTTTATTAATTTTTTTTATTTTTTATTTTTCATTTATTTATTTTTGTACTTTTCATGTTATATTTATCTAATATTTTACTCTTTTATTTAACATAAAATTGAATTTTAAAATCAGCAGATAAATTACTTACAACTGAAAAAATCAATAAAAATAATGTTTTATTAACAATTAAAATTTGTCTCACATAACACAAAGAAATACATTAATTTACACTTTTCTCAAGACAAATTAATGCCTATTCATAAAACTGTTTGGATTGCAGTTTACACAACTAATTAGTGAAAGTGAAAGATCAAAGTAAATGAGTAATTATTTGTACCCTTTGATGTCTTTGATGTTTTCAATGATTACTTATTATTTGTCTCAGCTTGGTAAAGCCAAGGAATTCTTTTTGGAGCAATTTTTGTTATAAAAAGGAAGCACATTATAGGAAAATCATAACTTGCTCAACTGTTGAACTGCCAATATCTTCTACTCAAACCATTACAATGGAACTTAGTAACATTCTGACCTATGCTGCTGACCTCAAGTCCTTACTTATTGTTTATGACAATTCAGTTGTACAACTATCTATGCTAGGTATGTTACATATAGTGATAAATAAGATAAAATTAGTTATATTGTTCTTTTTCTGAATATACAACAAAAAGAAGTAATATATTAATCTCAATTAGGGAATTTGATTTGGTAAATCACATTTTTAAGTCTAATATACTTTTACCACATTAAAATAATGAAATATAGCTACACTTAAAGATAGCAATTGTTATTTTTCTTTCGTTAGAAGTCTTAAGTTAACAAATAAAATCTATTTAATTTTAAAAATATACAAATGTGGTAATCTTTTTGACTCTCAGTGTATAATATAACAAATTACTAAATTGTTTTTTATTATTTCAGATACCAAGATTCATCGTCTAGACCAACAGATCTTCACAGCCAACCTAGAAGGAGCCAGTGGTTATGGCGTGCATTTACAGTCCCAGAAGTCTGTTACAGTTGGTGTCAAAAAGGTGTTTGAAAAGTTAAAGACAAAGAAATGGCAAGAAATCCAAGAGTTGTCTGCCCTGATTCTACAGTCAAACGACCCAAGTCATCCTACTCCAACAGCCACAACAGACAGTCAACCAGAAACAGATACCATGGCAACATCATTTACAGAAATGTTCTGTGCTTTCTCAAGGACAGCTTAGTGACAATTTGTTATTGTATAAAAATCAGTGCTAATGTTTAAATTGATTATATTTATTGTAATTTTATGTCTAAATGTAGTGTATGCATGCTAGTGCTCATGGATTATTGAATAGTGCTTAATAAAATAATATATAAGATAATTTGTTTTATGTTCTAAAATATCATTGCTGCCATAAGAAGTCAAAAGTTTCAGAAGATCTACAGCATCGGAAATACAGTATTAAAATAACAAACAAACAAGACAAAAATAAAGAAAATAAATTTTCCTCAACCACACAAACAGGTATTATGAATACTTTGACACATGTAACATTTTGAAGATGTTTACTTTAGTAACACAAAATAAACTTAGGAATTGCCACACTTATACACAAAAAATTGGAGAAAAACAAAATGACAAAAATAACACAGATGAATGTTCATAAATTTCAGGGAAGTTAATTTGCATAAAACAAATTTACTAGAATTTAAAATAATATTCTTTAATTCACTTTTATTTTTTTTAGTATTAGTTAAAACTTATTATGATAATTTATTTGAAAACAATTCACTCAAGAATTTAATTGAAACAATTGATCAAAGTGAATCACTTATTAATACTACTAATTTTACTCAACAATTAATTAATTAATGAAAGTACCAATTATAAGTACTTCCAGACCCTTTCAACTTTATTCTTGGTCATTGATTAAACTTGATTATTACTTACAAGACTTGGCTTGGGTAAGTCTTTTACATTCCTTTATATAATGTGTTTAGTGAACACAATTTATTGATCATTGGATGGATAAGGGAGCTATCATTTGATTTTAAGGGGGGCTAGCATGAAAAATTTTGTCCTGCATTTTTTTTAGCTGTAATCTCTGTCCTGCCTTTTTATTTATCACTCTATTCGGTCCTGCATTTTTTTTTTAGTTTATCCTGACTTTTTATTACCTAAATTGTCGTCTGGACTTTTTTTTTGCAAGTGTCTCATCCAGCCTTTTTTTTTACTCAAAACTCCTGTCCTGCCTATTTTTTTCAAATTTCATCCTAGCCCCTCCATAAAATCATCTGTTTTTTGCTAACCTGATCCTTATATTTGTGTGGATTATATAACTCACAAGCTAAACTGTTTGGACCTTTGAGTTTAATCTTCATTGTATATTGCTATACTATTACAACTTGCGATGTCAGTTTATTGAAACTTACATATACATACAATATTAAATTAATATATTGCTTTTCATGTACCTAGTGTTTACAGCAAAAGTTAGATAAATTTTATAATAAAAATTTATTGTACAGTAATTCATAACAATCTATTCTTATCCGGATTGTCATATAATTTGTATAACAGTACCCTATTAAGATAATGTATGGTGTGTCTTAAAGAATGCCTAATTCAACAATGGTCATTTTCTAATCTATTTTTTAAAACATATTCAAAACATGAAGTTCTAAAACAAGTATTTTCATCAATTTTCCATTTAAAATTTTTCTCTATCAAAAATAAATTATTGCACCAAAAAAAATATGAAACAATCAGTGTTCTCCCCAGGGCCTTTTAGCATCTTGAATATGATGCTATCTTGATTGATTTTCTTATAGAATGTGTTATGGATGACCCCATCATGTGATGCTATAATTTTTAGAAACAAGATGGTATTTCAAATTTCCCTGTTTACCAGGATGCTATATGAAATATCTGAGGAGAACACTGACAATAACGAAAATATAAGAACAATACAATCAATGATTTATGTTTTCTGAAAGGAGAAAAATGAAACCAACATTTTTTTTTTGGTCTCTGATTTTAAATGTCACAAAATATTATAAATATTTTATATATATACCAAAGGGCATAACTCTTTAAAAATAACTGATCAGCACTGATTTTCCAATTCGTCCAAGACATTGCTCATATTAACCTATATCAGTTTTATAAAAATCTGGCAAAAATTGTACACATGAGAGCGCTAACAATTTAATTTTCCATATTATTAATATTTCTAAGGGCCATAACTCTTTTAAAAATTATTGATCAGCACTGATATACAAACTCGTCTGAGACATTACTGATATAAACCTAAAATATAAGTTTCATAAAAATCTGGCAAGAATTGTACACATGAGAGCACTAACGAAACTAAATAAATGGGGAATGTGTCCATGGGACACAGATGATGTCCCTGCTTAGATATAACATTATAAAGGGACATAACTCAAGAATTGGTGATGGTCACACTACCCAAATTTGTACTTGATCTGAGTTTTGTGGTAATAAGCATTGTGTATAGGTTTTAATAAAATTTGGTTAAGGCAAACTTAAGTTAGAGAACGGAAACGAAAATTTCAGCAATTTTTCCATTTGTAAAGGGGCATAACTCTAGAACGGGAAAAGTGACGACACCAAAATTCAAACTTGATCTGTGTTATGTGGTAATAAGCATTGTGTAAAAGTTTCATAACATTGGTTGAGACAAACTAAAGTTAAAGAGCAGAAACAAAAAATTCGTCATTTTTCCATTTGTAAAGGGGCATAACTCTAGAACAGTACAAGTGACACCACCAAAATTTAAACTTGATCTGTGTTTTGTGGTAATAAGCATTGTGTATAAGTTTCATAACATTTGGTTGAGGCAAACTAAAACAAGAGAACCGAAACTAAAAATTCAGCAATTTTTCCATTTGTAAAGGGGTGTAACTCTAGAACTGTAAAAGTAATGCACCAAAATTCAAACTTGATCTGTGTTTTGTGGTAATAAGCATTGTGTATAAGTTTCATAACATTTGGTTGAGGCAAACTAAAGTTAGAGAACGGAAACCAATTTTGGGAGGTATGGACAGACGTAGACGGACAAGGGTAAAACTTAATGCCCCCTCTGCTACGGCGGGGGCATACAAATTATTGATCAACACTGATTATCGAAACTTGTCCGAGACATTGCTGATATAAACCTATGATATAAGTTTTATAAAAATCTGGCAAGAATTGAACATGTGAGAGCGCTAACAGGACCAGACGGATGTACGCTTGGTATTTCTATGTCCCCCACAATGCGTTGCGCGGGGGACAATAAGATATATGGAAAAAATATGCAGACTTTCCCAGCTAATAGTGCCAGGGGGGTTGTGGGGGGCCACTTATTATAAAATGAGCGGTAGGGATGAACTGCTGGGGTAGGTCCCTATTTCAAGATTCACAATATATGATATGTGAGAAAGTTCTAAAATTGATAAGTCTCTGATTCAAGAGCTTGTTAGAAAATGGAACCTACCACTTAAGACGTCAGGGCTGATATAAGCAGGACTACCCCTTTGGTCCTTTAATGGATCAGTCTCTGATACCAGAAGTTTTCCCAGACAGAAATTTGTTATTGTTATTCTCTTTGTCTTCTTGTTCAGTACCATGTTACCAAGCTTTAAATCACGATGAACCAAATTTTTCTGAAATATACATATCACATATACAATAATTATGAGATGACGACTCATCACTTATTGTCAGCCATTGAAAGACATCAGAGATGTTCCTGTAAAATTTTTTAAGTCACAATAGAAAATGTTTGATGCCACAGTACAAAAGTGAATTTAAATGATGTCAATAGGTCAAGTGTCACAAATAGTTTCACTGACTTTAATATGGTATAAGAGCAAGTGTATAGTTGAAAACAGTATATTGACTTCTAGATGACTTTTCCCTTTTTTTATTCCTTCTGTTTTTTGTTGAGTTGCTGTATCATTGCCAGTTATTATTTATCCTTTATCTCAATAACATTAATTCTCAACCTGTTATATTAACGCAAGAATAGGAAGCATCTTTTTTTTTTATTTGACTGCAATGAATCCTTTTGACTTAATGTAAATGTGATTTCACTGATGTGGTTTACCGACATTTTTTTAACATTAGTAAAATTAAAATCAATGATACTTGCAAATATTCAAAAAAACAGTATATTTACTTTTTACAGCAGTTTATTTCTTTCATAGTTTAAATTTTGTGCTTTCAAAAGCCAAACCTGACTGTGAAGTTCTATTTTTGTGTTTTTCTTGTTTGATTTTGATCTTTCTTAAGATCAACTGTATGCAAGTGGATATTTTTTCAAGATTTTATCGTAATCCAGATATTGGTGAGAAAAATAAATAAACCGCTCGCACTTTACAACATGTCATAAATGATATAATATACCCTATGTAAACTCTCCACAACTCTAACAATATCAAGGAATACGATTATGGCTTCTTTCTCCGATAGTTTCTTCTCTTTAATGACATAGTGTTGTAAGTTGACTAGATCTTGATTTTCATCACTAAAATCATGGTGAACCAGACAGTCTAACACCAGACAGAGTCGTCTCCTCTTCCTAGGGACTGACTGGCCAGGATAATACCGGGAACTTTCTTTATCTTCTAATGCTTCATCCTGAAAAAAGTTAATCATTCTTTAATGGATATCTTCATTGAATCAGAATGAGGGTAATGAAGGTGTACCAAGTCAGGCTTTCTGGACATTGTTTGTTGTTGTTTGTCTTTAAATGTTTGTATGGCTGTTATTTCTTTGAGGAGTCAGGTTTTGGTGATCTATTGTATTGTTCAGTATTTGCAGTGATTCCTGTTATCCTTCTTGTGTGTTATACATTTGATAATGGTATGGGAAAATTATCCAGGCAAACAGCTTTGTAGCTTTTATTGAAAATCTCACATGAATTATTTTTGTTTTGTTTGACACAAAAATGAGACAAGAGTGCACACGCTGAAATGTCTCGCCTGTTTTACTGACCATTGATTTTATGTTAAAAGTCTTAAAGATAAAATTTTTACTACTATTAAAAGGCTTGTATAGTCCGCGGTTTTATTCTCCAAAATTGACCCTGACAGCAGGGGTGCGGACTATAGAGTACAATAATCAAGAAATAAGAGAGAAAATTTCACTTTCGCGATATGGTTTGTTTACGTTCCGCCATGTTTGTTATTGACATTGTAGAGGGCGCTCTTATTTTTCAAACAAACAATTTTACCCAATCCATATTAATAAGTTATTTTTATTCAATATCAAATTAATACTGATAAACTTAAAAATTAAATGCTTCATCACAAAATTCTTGTTTCTTTTCAATGCATTGCTAAATATAAACTGGTATCTGCTTGAATGAAATCGTGCAAAAAAAGTAAAAAAAGGCAACTGTAAACCAGCTTACGATGTGTTAACTACAAAACGTAATCGGTTATTATTCGTTCCGTTTTGGTGTTTCCTATTGACAAATATGTTTTGTATTTGCTTAAGACCCTTCAAACATTAATGTGATAGATATATTAAACACTGTTTTACATAAGGAGGGAACTGTTTTACTTTCAAAGTCGTATTATAGTGATATCTATTATGTACGGATTTCGACTCTCACCGGGTTTTTTCATCTTTTACACGTGCTTTTCAAACTTCCGGTTTAAACATACACAAGTTTCTAAATTGTTTTTTGCATGATTTAGACTTATTTTAACCAGCGTGAAGTGTTTTAGGACCATTTACAAGCAGTTTCAGCTTCTGTTTGGTGATGGAAAAAAGGTTTTTCCAAGAAAATACCGCAAACGACTACACACGATTTAAGATTACCGGAGTTTCATTAGACCTTTTCTAACAGTTACAAAAAGTTTTTTTAACTGAAATTTCGTGGGGAGAAGGGGGTGCGGACTATGTACCAGTGCAAACTATACAAGCACGATTACGGTACAAGTATCATGTAAACTAAACATTTTTAAAAGATCCATGACAATGAGTTCAAGGTCAGATAAATCCTATCAGACAGACATTTACACCCTACAAATACTCAATACACTAAATATACTAGTAGTTTACCTTTGGCTTAAGGTTATTGAAAAACAGACAAAAACACAAAAACTTAACATTGACCAATGGACCATGAAAATGAGATCAAAGTCAGATGAAACCTGCCAGACAGACTTGTACACCTGACAATCATTCCATACACCAAATAAAGTTGATATATTGCTTATAGTCCTTGAAAATCAGACCAAAACACAAAAACTAAACATTGATCAATGAACCATGAAAATGAGGTCAAGGACAGATGAAACCTGCCAGACTGACATGTACCCCTTACAATCATTTCATACACCACATATAGTTGACCTAATGCTTATAGTATCTGAGAAACCGACCTACTCACATAACTTAAACCTTGTCACTGATCCATGAAATAAGTCTGACCGACATGTAGACGTTGCAAGGAACCCATATACCAAATATAGTTCTCCTATTACTCATAATAAGTGAGAAAATCACATCACAAAAAAACTTTTTTTTTTCAAGCAGTCACTGAACCATGAAAATGAGGTCAAAGACAATGGACATATGACCAAGGGTCCGGAAACGGTCATATTTGCCAGTCATGTCCTAAGCTGCAAGCTATTTGTCCTAAACGAAAAAATTGCGATTTAGGACAAATTTTATTTTTTGCAGAAACAATTTCGGTCATTTCAGTGAGATTGGGTTTCTTAATCGCCATTTTGCATTTTTTTTTTGTTTTAAAATCCCTTTCCTGTAATAAAACTGCCACTCCAGTATAGTTTGATAATCCTGAAGGCCCTCCTAATAACTATATCATGCCTCTGGGAAATATTGGCTAATGATCGCTAATCACTTTTTACCTGTGACTTTAATTCACACCTGACAATGATCACAAGCTCAGAACTAATATCATAAAGAAATTAAAATTCCATGACAGCTGTATTCATTATCTAATTACTTTTTAACAAAGACAATCAATAATTCTGATTTGAGAATTAAAACTTAATTTAATTTACGTAGAATAAAATGCTCCGCTGGGGCGCAGCTTGATACGACCGCAGAGGTCGAACCCTGAACAGTTGGGGCAAGTATGGACACAACATTCAAGCTTGATACAGCACTGAATTTGGATTGTAATTAAATATTTGACACAGCATAGGTTTCTGACACAGAATGAAAGTGGTCTAAGAACTTAAAAATTTTTAATTTACCTATTCAAACCATATCATTTTTATTTGCTTTTATATATAAATCAGAAATAACCAATTTAAAATGGAAAATTTTAAAGAAAAAAAAGATCCCCCCCCCCCAATATTTTTTGAACCCCCTTATGATTCATCACCCCCAAACTCAATCCCAGCCTTCCCTTTGTGGTATGGTACCTTGCAGTACAATTTCAGAGAGATCCATACACTTGAACACAAGTTATTGTCTGGAAACTAGAAAAATGCTTGTTTTTTAGCCCCTTTTTGGCCCCAAATTCCTAAACGTTAAGGGCAATTACCCCCAAACTAAAACCCAGCTTACCCTTTGTGATATGGAACTTTGCAGTACAATTTCATAAAGATCCATACACTTACACACAAGTTATTGTCCTGAAACTAGAAAAATGCTTGTTTTTTTTACCTTTTATGGCCCCTTATTCCTAAAATTTTGAGGCAATTACCCCCAAAATCAATCCCAGCCTTCCCTTTGTGGTATTGTACCTTGCAGTACAATTTTAAAGAGATCCATACACTTGAACACAAGTTATTGTCTGGAAACTAGAAAAATGCTTATTTTTGGCCCCTTTTTGGCCCCTTATTCCTAAACTCTTTGGGCAATTACCCCCAAACTCAATTCCAGCTTCCCCTTTGTGATATGGAACCTTGTAGTACAATTTCATAAAGATCCATACACTTACACACAAGTTATTGTCATGAAACTAGAAAAATGCTTGTTTTTTGTCCCTTTTTGTCCCCTAATTCCTAAAATTTGGAGGCAATTACCCCCAAAATCAATCCCAGCATTTCCTTTGTGATATGGAACCTTGTGATACAATGTCAGAGAGATCCATACACTTACACACAAGTTATTGTCATGAAACTAGAAAAATGCTTGTTTTTTGCCCCTTTTTTGCCCCTAATTCCTAAAATTTGGAGGCAATTACCCCCAAAATCAATAACAGCATTCCCTTTGTGATATGGAACCTTGTGGTACAATGTCAGAGAGATCCATACACTTACACACAAGTTATTGTCATGAAACTAGAAAAATGCTTGTTTTTTGCCCCTTTTTTGGCCCCTAATTCCTAAAATTTTGAGGCAATTACCCCCAAAATCAATCCCAGCATTCCTTTTGTGATATGGAACCTTGTGGTACAATGTCAGAGAGATCCATACACTAACACACAAGTAATGTCTGGAAGTTACAAAAATGCTTATTTTTGGCCCCTTTTTGGCCCCTAATTCCTTAACTGTTGGTACCATAACCCCCTAAATCAATCCCAACCTTCCTTTTGTGGTATTGAACCGTATGGTAAAATTTCATAGAGATCCATTCACTTAAAGGGAAAATTCGCGATTTTTTACCTTTCATCTTATTTTGTTCATAATACCATAAAAAACATATTTACCAAGTTTTATCTGGATATGAACACTAATAAAGAAGAAAATTGGAAATCAATAATTTAATTTATTCCAACTTCCTGACTTATGTGACGTAGTTTAAGTCTTTTTGCATGCCGGGAGTGAATAAATCTCGTTGTAAGTCTTGTTCGTTAATCATCTAATAACGCGATTTAAAGCGCATCGACGACTTTTGGCGTAGCTATTAACCAACTAATAATTAAGAAAGTAAAGTGATCCGCCGTGCAACTTTCAAAATTAAAATGTACAATTTATATTTAAAGGATTTCTGATATGATTAAAGTAATAAAAGTAAATCATACAATAGAATATATTTTCATGAATTTTTTTTCCGACGGATATTTTGAACAAACATATATAACTGATATTGTTTTACAAATGCATGTTTGTATTCTCACCTGAAGGCTTTTACTTCAGTCTAGTACTGTGTAAATACAATGTGTATTGTACTGTGACACTAAGTGACCACCTGTTGAATGCGTGGTTAAATTCAAGGTAATTAAAAGATTAGCATTCTGTAATTCTATTCTTTTGATCTTCACTCAGTGAATTTTAGCCAACACGGTTCACCGTTACAGGTGTGAACAACATTTCGTATGAATGATAAAAACATTAATTATTTGGGGAGGAATATGGTGGCAAAATACCTGAATCGCCGTTATATACATGTATATCTTTTATATTCTGCGTAAGCTTAATTTTAAAATAGATAGGTGAGTATTTTGTTGTAACATCGAAATTCTAAATTACTTTCAATTAAATAATTTTACAAATAAAAATGGCCCACGAAAACGAGCTTACAAACCAAACACTGTACTTACTTTTTCAAATTATCATGGGTATTAACCGTGAATATTTCAATGTTTAGAGAAAATTATCGCGGTTACATGATTAATATAGCTTGGTCCGTCCACAGCGATCTACATTTACCTAATCGGGAATGCCCTTATTAAAATATTTAAAATCTCACAACGTATACATACTTTAGCTATTTGACCAACGATGTTTAAAAAAAATAACAGAATCAATCTAACGTCAACTTTCCTTTTTTGAATGGAGACAGACCGGAGGAATCAATTTTGAATGTGCTTTATATCTTGTACCTTTGCAAGACTTATCATTCATTCATAAACCCACTTTATACCAGAGACATATATGTCAGTCTTAACTGACAAGAATACACCTAAAGCGGACAAGCAGTATTTTCTTTAAGCTTCTGTGATTTAATACCAAGAAAGAAAAAAATCCCGAAATTAATTTGATACTTTGATACTCAATATTTTTCCTGGAAAATATTCATATCCTCGTTTGGTCTGAAAATAAGATAAGAATTTGGTATACAGAACATGCAGAAGTGTGAATGTCATAAAACCTTGTTATATCAGAAACCATTATAAATGTGAACCTGTATACGTAAGACCTCATGGGACGTCACCTAACCACATACAGGTAATATACAAGTAGCTCTGTTATACCCGGAAATGTCAAGGTAAATCACTACCGATACAGAATGTACCAATGCAAAGAAAATTCTGATGATTGTGAAGCATGACCATTCATGATTTTAGAGGAGTCTTAGGTGGAAATTGCCGGTACAATTTAAATTCTGACTATATTTTTTTCTCTCAATTTAAATCACTGAACTTAAAAAAAAAGAAACATACGCCCAAGATCAGAATTCTTCATGTAAATTCAAAAATACAACGTTCTTATTTTGTAACTTTCGATATACTTCACCCCCCACCCCCATCGATTAAGAATGACAAGTGTACGTGAAATTCTATAGTTGCCTGTGAGACTTTTTTTTACCAGATATGCGACTTTTCGTATTTATATTTTCTCTTATATTACTCTCATTTAATATTTTATGCATAAGTGCAATATTAGGAATGGTTTATCCCCCCTCCCTTTTAAGCTAACTAAATAAATTAATCAACCTTCTAGCTGACCAGACGTTAACACATCTACTATCAGTCAATTCGGAGTGAAGTTTCTTTATTTCTTCAAATAAGCTTTTTGGGGATCATTAGTGTACGTCCAGTGGCATATATATTACATGCATGTCGGAACAGGAAAATTGACATGAGGTATAATAGAACCATGTTCACATTATTACATTATTATATATAATACACAACCATTGAGATGATGACGACTTTCTTAAACTGTTCAAAATAATCTTATGGAAATAAAAATCTGTGATTTTACTATGTGCATAACTTTGATGAACCAAAGCAAGTTAGATATAAATAAATAAAATAAATAAAATAAATAAAATAAATAAAATAAATAAAATAAATAAAATAAATAAAATAAAATAAATAAAATAAATAAAATAAATAAAATAAATAAAATAAATAAAATAAATCTTTTATTATAGTGTCACATATTTGATCAAACAATATATATATACAACAATTCATAATAAAAACAGAGATCAAATATCCAGCCTTAGAATAGACTTATGAGACACTAAGATATCGACCTGTATTTAAATCAGATTTGTTTTGGATGTTTCTCTCGTATATTCAATATACATGTATATATTCTAAATTGCGACTATCTATAGTTCCGTAACCTTCTATCTAGGCGTATAATCCAATGATCGACAAGTGCGTACATTTTGTTAAATCAATATTTGTACGTTTCAAAATGTCCATAATTATTGACAACGAGTAATTACTTACATTTTCCCCAATTTACGTTTGGAAAATATGTAAATATATTTTTATTTTATCAAATCTTTTTTTGGAATTATTTAGATTTTCATAAATGTTCTTTACATCATAAATGTTATTTATGAACAAGCGTATGAGTTTAGTCATATATATAATGGCTATTATATCTATGGTTTAGTAAAGACTAGCATATCACTATCGGACACGCAAGACAAAGATGTATATTCACCTGATAGTTTCTAAATGGAAAGTTACAAGTTATCGGCCGTGTACACTTCTCAATACCCTCAGAGGTGAAGTGATGCACGAACTTGCTTTATGTAATTGTGTAATAAGAGTTTTAAAGCCCGACAAGAAATCGCTTGAATACCTGGACGTGTCAACTCGCAATACCTCTGGGAACAATTCCTTTAGCGATGCTGGTGATCAGATAAGGGAAGGTCCGAATTTATTTAAATAAGATTATTACATAAATGAATTATGAACACACTAGATTTTCGAAAACATTTTTACACGGAACACTTAATTTATCACTTTGAACTTTTTAACTAATTTCCATTAACATTTCTTGTTTCAAAAACTTAGTAAAAAAAAACAGTTTCAAAACGACAGACCATAGTACTAGTTATTAAAAAAAAATTATATATTATTACATTTTCTGTATAAAGTTAGTTAGGAAAGGTTGCATGCACAACCATGTCTATTATAATCTTTTTTTGTGACCCGGGAAACTGTTTAGGCTTTCCTTGTCGGGTAAAACAACCGTACGCTTGACAAGATATCGACACTCAATTACGGCTACGTTAGGTTACTGCTTGTTTTGGTCCTTTGTGGTTTATAGATATATCGTGGTCTCTATTCAGGGATGATGTCAAAATGGCCGCACGCGGAGAAGTGATACTCTAAATTTAAAATCAATGGTGATCTCTTATCTAGCAGAATTAAACTTTAATATTTATGAATTTGTGGTTTTTTATACATAATCAACATAATATCAATTTTTCATTTTTTTGCGAAGTTTCCCTTTAAACTAAAGTTAGAGTGCGAAAACTAATGTGTCTTCGGACGACGACGACGATGACGCCAACGTCATACCAATATACGACCACAAAAATTTTTTTGCGATCGTATAAAAAAGTAATTTTTCACGAGTAACACATGTACTTTATTTACTATGTAATACGCATGCGTGAAATTGTCTTCAGCAGATAGGACACTTACATGTTGTAATCGTAAAATGCATAATAATTTCATGCTTAATTAAACGAGTGCAACTAATTTCTATTATATTCAAACACTTTCAAAGGTAATCAAATTTAAAACCGGGTGATTTTCTGTCAATTTGATAAACAAAACAATATTCTGGAAATGAATCCGGAATTAATCGTACTTTAGAATTGTCGCAAAACTTCCGGTTTAAATTTTCGTCTAAAATCGAAAGAAACGTTAGCAATGTCTGAGAAACTAACCATTTTGAGTCATTAAAATCATTTCAAATTTAAACTGTTGCCTTCCCTAAACTGTTCTTGAAAGTTTTGAGTAAAATGGTAAGAAAATTCACAAAGAAAATGCAATGAAACAGCCAATACAAATTCGTTGATGCTATGAATCTAGTGACCATTCGATATCCACAATTTGAAAAAAGGGCACCAACTTTTAAGACATCTCAAAATGACCGAAATTGTGTGAAAAAATTTCCGGATCCTTGCATATGATAGACGGAAACTTTGTAATATAAGGTATCTGCATACAAGTTATGAAGCATACAGGTCTCCAACCTTCTGAAATACAAAGCTTTATACAAATAGTTTATGCCATTGCCATCACAGCCGCTGGATAGTCATACCTATGTCTCGCAAGGCGAGACAAAAATTAATACATTTATTTTGTATGGTAACTAAGCTGGCATCAATAACCTCTTGTTTGTAGTGGCAAAGTTAGTGGAATAGCCTTGAGTTGTTTTCTATGGTCTGTCTAGCTTTTTTATGTTCTGATGCTCTTAAGAGTTCTATGCATTTGACCTTCAAAACTTTTGATCTTGAGAATACCTGAATGAGGTTAATCATGAAACGTTTTGTGCACTAAAATCAGTATATTATTATATCTATTCTTAATTTATCAGGAGTAATTCAGCTTTAAATTCACCTACTCACAAAACTTTATGTTCAATTTCAGGGAAGATACCACATATTCAGAATTTATTGCATGCATTTATTAATGGGAATCTCAAACAACTTCAAACAATGTGATAATAACTTAATATGCTTTTTATACATGTTGTAGTAGAAAAGTTCTAGCAAAAACTCAGAGGATAATTTTAAGGATTGCAATGATCCCCGTATCACAGTACATTAATAAAAACATGTATAATTTCAGATTTTACAGTATTAAAGTCATTATGTGAACATGATTTGAATGAAGATTAGTTTTACCTTAAACAGTCCATGATGATGTACAACTCCATCCTGATTGTGAAGTAAAGACAACAAAGAATATTCTGTGTGTAACAACATTTTCCCTTGTCTATCATCTTGGCTCTCTTCTCTCGGGTCAGACAGGGTTAAAATCTATAACATAGACCATGCAATAGTAAAGCAAAAATTGACATAAACTTCTACAAGTGTCATCAACAATTCCTTACTGGTCACATGGGATTGAAATCAGTCGCGTAATTTATCCTGCAATTGACCTTTCTACTATGCAAATACAGGATGACAGATACAAATGTAACATAAACCGATAAACATATACTAGATGATTATAGTCTCCTGGTATCCAGCTTTCGTTGCGAGCAAACGGTTTTGTTCAAATTACTGTTTAGAAAACAGTTCAATTTGGGGTCCTTATTGCGGTCCGTGTTTAAGTCATCTTGATTTCATTCCACAACAATTTGTATTGGAAAAAAACTTTACATTTAAGATCAATATTCAATTGCAGGATAAAAACGATATTCGTACAATGTAGGAAAATATAGAATTTAGTTGTACTCAATACAAAACAGTAGAAAAGCTTTATGTTGGTAGTTGATGTCTTTGTATATTTTCTAAGAGGAGTTGGTGTGGTCTGTTGTATTCTCGTCAAAAAATATAATAATTAATTTTAAAATAACAAAGTAGAGCATCCACTCTTTACTTTACAATAATTAATTCTATATTTTCTGTAATCAGCACTACTTTTTCATTATACTACCCCTACTCTACATGGTAATTACATTCAACGTGTTAAGTCTGTTTGTTTTTGTTATAATACAAAGTTTTGACCAGGAACAATGGTCATTAAAAGCAATTATTCTCCTGAAAACAAAAAAGAAGTTTGCCATATTTGATGAAGATTCATAACCTTGTAATACATTTATGCTAATATGTTTTTCAATTTTTGTTTTACTTCTGCTTGATTTTTGGTTCTAAACTTGAAAATCTTATTTTTGCTGGGATTTGTACAAAGTTTGAGAAGTTAGCTCAAGATGTATTGTCTGCAAAACACACTGATAAAATTTTGGCCAACATTGTATAGCTTCAAAACAGCAATGGAAACAGACTTGGACTTTATACTTGTTATACATATAAAAGCAAAACAAAGATTGCCAGCACGGCAACCATTTTATAATACCTTTATAGTGTAGAATTTATCTGTCCCATCTTTCCTTGCCAAACACTGTACGATACTTCTGACAGGAGAAGATCCTTGTCGTGGTCCTATAATAAGATTTCATAATATTATTATATGAAGCCAACTTGAGACATTTTCATTAAAATCTGTCTTCAATAAATATCAATTATCAAGAAGTATCTTACTGTGTAAAACAGTCATGGTGCTCAACCACAGGCCCACCAGCCCAGGCTTGTAAAAATGCTGTCGGGCCTTTAAAAATGATCTCTACAGGCCAATAGAATCTAACTAAAATTTTCGTAAAATTCAGCATTGGGTCTGTAGATTCAAAAGTTTATGGTGAAGACTGGTAAAATGATAATTTTTTCTGATAAACTGACCTTACCATAAGAACTTTGAATTCTTGGCTTCTTACGAATCATCTTTCCTGTTTTTATCATGTAGCATGAGTGATTTCTAAGGTGTTTACATGTCGAATGTTACATAGGGTTTGTTTATGATGTGATTTCTGGTATGAATCTGAGTTTTAAAAAAATGACCCCGACTATTTAAGTTGTCATAAAATGACCAAAATCTCATGATTTTTTTTAGAGATCCTTGCTAGTACTATATTCATGTAGATAAAAAGTCCAGCTTTCCCCTTCTTCTGTGGAAGATGGGTTTAATCTTTGGACCTTACTTCAAATTTCTAGTCTACAATCGAAACATCCTTTAATAAAATTAACAAAATCTGTAGAATTTATCTTGTCTTATTCTATATATTTGTTACCTAACAGATAAGGTCCAGCTTTCCTGACTTCTGCGGAAGGTGGATTTAATCTTTGGACCTTACTACTAGTGGATTGCTGGTTTAAGGAGGAAACTCCTAAGGACCTTTTCATCATTTAATCCCATCATAACTGTCTTCTTTCTTTGGTCGTCATGGTTGATCCACAGATTAAAAATCACTTTAAATCTATAAAGACATGTTCATAAACTAGTTACGTGTACACTCATTTATTTATTACTACAGAAAAATATTTGATCATACATTAATCAACAAAGATTGGAAGACTAAACACATTTATTTAAAAACCAGTTGTTGGCATGACACGGGTTATGTTCTTCTCATATATGTTATGATGGTATGATACTAAACCCCTAACGGGAAGGATTGTGCCTGATATTCATATGATGAAGACATAATCTTTCAATCAGTTTAATTGAAGTCTGGAGCTGGCATGTCAGTTAACTGCTAGTAGTCTGTTGTTATTTATGTATTATTGTCATTTTGTTTATTTTCTTTGGTTACATCTTCTGACATCAGACTCGGACTTCTCTTGAACTGAATTTTAATGTGCGTATTGTTATGCGTTTACTTTTCTACATTGGCTAGAGGTATAGGGGGAGGGTTGAGATCTCATAAACATGTTTAACCCCGCCGCATTTTTGCGCCTGTCCCAAGTCAGGAGCCTCTAGCCTTTGTTAGTCTTGTATTATTTTTAATTTTAGTTTCTTGTGTACAATTTGGAGTTTAGTATGGCGTTCATTATCACTGAACTAGTATATATATTTGTTTAGGGGCCAGCTGAAGGACGCCTCCGGGTGCGGGAATTTCTCGCTGCATTGAAGACCTGTTGGTGACCTTCTGCTGTTGTCTGTTCTATGGTCGGGTTGTTGTCTCTTTGACACATTCCCCATTTCCATTCTCAATTTTAATTCCACTCCAGCATACATGACAATGATGTAGTTAAATGATGTTGATAATAAAAGGATGAAAAATAAAGTTACATTTTTGTAAGATGTACATTTGCATATAGAGCTTAGCCTGTAGGATAAATCATACGGACTTAAATATAGTCAGGACGGTGTAGAAGAAATAAATTTTTCACTTGCACAAATGATTCAATTGGATAGACAAAGTCGTTTATTGGAGGAAAGCTATCATTTTAGCAACTGATATATGCTGATACACAAATAAGGACAATAGGTTCGGTTGAATGAGAAAAAGTTGGCACTTCAAGTACATGAAGAAGCAGTGTTTCCCCCAAGCATGTTTAGCATGGATAGACGCCATGCCCTTTTTTGTCTTAATGACGCCATTATCTCAAAAAATGCCCTTTCTTCCTGTCTTCATGTTTCTGGCAAGTTTATGGCCCTCAGCTAATTAACATTTACAACAGGTGTTATAAAGTTGTGATTACAGTTAATCCGCTTATCGCCATCAGATGGGTCACTAATCCGTTAATTATTAATAAACCTCATAATTGACTGCCATAATAATTTTCCCCAGTAAAATCAGTCAGTTGGCATTTTAATTTCAATATTTCTCAAGGCCAACTACCACAATTTGCTATTGTGCAATACTGTGCAATTGAAAATTTCTTGCTATTGCACAATTCTTATTATATAATAATTTACACATCCTGTTTGGTGTGTATCTCCTACCATATCATTATTATTTGCTTTTAAATATAAAACAGAGAAATAACCAACTTAAAATGAAAATTTTAAAAGAAAAAAAAAAGGAAAAAAAAAAAAAAAATCCCCCCCCCCCCAATTTTTTGAACCCCCTTATGATTCATCACCCCCAAACTCAATCCCAGCCTTCCCTTTGTGGTATGGTACCTTGCAGTACAATTTCAGAGAGATCCATACACTTGAACACAAGTTATTGTCTGGAAACTAGAAAAATGCTTATTTTTGGCCCCTTTCTGACCCCCAATTCCTAAACATTTTGGGCAATTACCCCCAAACTCAATTCCAGCTTTCCCTTTGTGATATGGAACCTTGTAGTACAATTTCAGAAAGATCCATACACTTACACACAAGTTATTATCATGAAACTAGAAAAATGCGTGTTTTTTGCCCCTTTTTTGGCCCCTAATTCCTAATATTTTGAGGCAATTACCCCCAAAATCAATCCCAGCATTCCCTGTGTGATATGGAACCTTGTGGTACAATTTCAGAGAGATCCATACACTTGAACACAAGTTATTGTCTGGAAACTAGAAAAATGCTTATTTTTGGCCCCTTTTTGGCCCCTTATTCCTAAACGTTTTGGGCAATTACTCCCAAACTCAATTCCAGCTTTTCCTTAAATTTGTGATATGAAACCTTGTAGTACAATTTCAGAAAGATCCATACACTTACACACAAGTTATTGTCATGAAACTAGAAAAATGCTTGTTTTTTGCCCCTTTTTTGGCCCCTAATTCCTAATATTTGGAGGCAATTACCCAAAAAATCAATCCCAGCATTCCCTGTGTGATATGGAACCTTGTGGCACAATGTCAGAGAGATCCATATACTAACACACAAGTTATGTCTGGAAGTTACAAAAATGCTTAATTTTGGCCCCTTTTTGGCCCCTAATTCCTTAACTGTTAGTACCATAACCCCCAAAATCAATCCCAACCTTCCTTTTGTGGTATTGAACCTTATGGTAAAATTTCATAGAGATCCATTCACTTAAACTAAAGTTAGAGTGTGAAAAACCAATGTGTCTTCGGACGACGAAAATTGACGACGCCAACGTCATACCAATATACGACCGCAAAAATTTTTGCAGCCGTATAAAAATTATACAACACAAAAATCGTTTTTAGAAAGTCACTTCATTTTAAAACAATGAACAAAAAAAATATTTATAGCAATACACTAACCAAAATACGATTGAAAAATTATTTAACACAAAATCAATAATAAAATGCTTCGCTGGGCGCAGCTTGATACGACCGCAGAGGTCGAACCCTGAACAGTTGGGGCAAGTATGGACACAACATTCAAGCTTGATACAGCTCTGAATTTGGATTGTGATTAAATATTTGACACAGCATAGGTTTCTGACACAGAAAGAATGTGGTCTAAGAACTTCAATTTTTTTAATTTACCTATTATGGTCCAATGTCCAAAATCAAAATACATGGTTAGATTCAGCATATCAAATAACCCCATATATTCAATTTTTGTTGAAATCAAACAAAGTTTAATTTTGGACCCCAACTTGGACAAACTTGAAAACTGGTCCCATAATCAAAAATCTAAACACATGTTTAGATTCAGCATATCAAAGAACCCCAAAAATTCAATTTTTGTTAAAATCAAACTAAGTTTAATTTTGGACCCTTTGGACCTTAATGTAGACAATTTAAAAAACAGGACCCAAAATTAAAAATCTAAATACACGGTTAGATTTGGCATATCAAAGAACCCCAATTATTCAATTTTTGATGAAATCAAACAAAGTTTAATTTTGGACCCTTTTGACCTCAATATGAACCAATTTGATAGCGGGCCCACAAATAAAAAATCTAAATACATGGTAAGATTCAGCATATCAAAGAACCCCATATATTCAATTTTTGTTGAAATCAAACAAAGTTTAATTTTGGACCCCAATTTGGACCAACTTGAAAACTGGGCAAAAATCTAAAATCTAAATACATGTTTAGATTCAGCATATCAAAGAACCCCTTATATTCAATTTTTGTTGAAATCAAACAAAGTTTAATTTTGGACCCCAACTTCGACCAACTTGAAAACTGGGCCCATAATCAAAAATCTAAACACATGTTTAGATTCAGCATATCAAAGAACCCTAAGAATTCAATTTTTGTTAAAATCAAACTAAGTTTAATTTTGGACCCTTTGGACCTTAATGTAGACCAATTTAAAAAACGGGACCCAAAATTAAAAATCTAAATACACGGTTAGAATCGGCATATCAAAGAACCCCAATAATTCAATTTTTGATGAAATCAAACAAAGTTAAATTTTGGACCCTTTGGACCTCAATGTGGACCAATTTAAAAACGGGGCCCAAAATCCAAAAACTTAATACACGGTTAGATTCAGCATATTAAAGAACTCCAAGAATTCAAGAATAAAACCCCATTGAAATTGATCAAGAAATAAGCAATTTATACGAAGTATCTTCTTTTGCACAATACTGTGCAATTGAATATTTCTTGCTATTGCGCAATACTGTACAATTGACAATTTCTTGCTATTGCGCAATATTGTGCTATTGGATATTTCTTGCTATTGCGCAATACTGTTAAATTGAAGATTTCTTGCTATTGCGCAATACTGTGCAATTGAAGATTTCTTGCTATTGTGCAATACTGTGCAATTGAAAATTTCTTGCTATTGCACAATACTTATTATATAATAATTTACACATCCTGTTTGGTATGTATCTCCTACCATATCATTATTATTTGCTTTTAAATATAAATCAGAAATAACCAACTTAAAATGGAAAATTTTAAAAGAAAAAAAAAAGGAAAAAAAGAAAAAAAAAAAAAAAAAAAAATCCCCCCCCAAATTTTTTGAACCCCCTTATGATTCATCACCCCCAAACTCAATCCCAGCCTTCCCTTTGTGGTATGGTACCTTGCAGTACAATTTCAGAGAGATCCATACACTTGAACACAAGTTATTGTCTGGAAACTAGAAAAATGCTTATTTTTGGCCCCTTTTTGGCCCCCAATTCCTAAACGTTTCGGGCAATCACCCCCAAACTCAATTTCAGCTTTCCCTTTGTGATATGGAACCTTGTAGTACAATTTCAGAAATATCCAAACACTTACACACAAGTTATTGTCATGAAACTAGAAAAATGCTTGTTTTTTGCCCCTTTTTTGGCCCCTAATTCCTAAAATTTTGAGGCAATTACCCCCAAAATCAATTACAGCCTTCCCTTTGTGATATGGAACCTTGTGGTACAATGTCAGAGAGATCCATACACTTACACACAAGTTATTGTCTGAAAGTTACAAAAATGCTTATTTTTGGCCCCTTTTTGGCCCCTAATTCCTTAACTGTTGGTACCATAACCCCCAAAATCAATCCCAACCTTCCTTTCGTGGTATTGAACCTTATGGTGAAATTTCATGGAGATCCATTCACTTAAACTAAAGTTAGAGTGCGAAAACCAATGTGTCTTCGGACGACGCCAGACGACGCTGGACGACGACGACGACGACAACGACGACGACGACGACGACGACGCCAACGTCATACCAATATACGACCAAAAAATTTTTAATTTTTGCGGTCGTATAAAAAGGGTGCGAACGGACCCGGGGTGCGAACGTGAATGGGCCCGGATTCATACTTTACCAATGCAATATGACAATTTATTGCCTTTCTTGTTTTCAGCATACTGTAGGTGCTCTTTTGTTAATTTTCCTTACACTATAGGTGCCCTTTTTATAAATTTTAGCATGCTCTAGATGCCCTTTTTCAATTAAGTTACCATGCCCTTTTTGTGTGATAGGGGAAACACTAAGAAGGTTATGATTCTCTGAAGTGAAATTAAAGACATCAACATTGTGGAGGACTGAGGAGTGTCAAAAATAAAAGAATTGGAAGGGCTGTCTCACAAAATCATAGTATTTTTTCACAAGAAACACTTGTGATAACTTTCACAAATAACACTTGTCTGTGAAATTCTCATATTTGACCATCAACACATATCTAAATACTAGAAACACTGCTGACTATAATTTGCAATAATTCTTTTGAAAAGTGTCAAAGGGAGATGACTTTTCATAGCCCAAAATCAAGCTAATTAAGCTGAAAGGTAACCAGCTAAAAATGTAAGTAACCGAGCCTGTTTAACCAGATAACAGTTGTCTTAAATCGTCTAAGCAAGCTTCACATACAAGACAACTTTGAATACAAATGAGGGTGATGTGATACAATATCATGTATTAGTCAATTGGGTCTGGATAAGTCACATGCACTTTCTTCTGAAACATTGTGGAGCAAGAGAAGGATTGCCGATTGGGTCCAAAAACTAAAGAAGAGCTTGTGAGATGAATCCGAAGAAACGATGGAATGGATTTATTTCATGATAAGTTCCTAAATTCTTTATCATCCCTTATATATAAAAATGCGATCATGCAGACATCAACCTATAATAGCTAGTGAATTACTTGTATTTCGTGTTGAAATATCATGCTGTCAAATTGCAACTAGCCGGAAGTTATATTTTCCTCAATGTCTTCTAGACGTTTTACAAATTGTTCTGAAACTCCTAAATACATCACGCGATCCCGTGTGTATATTAAAAAAAAACCCCGAATATTTGAGTTTGAATGTCCCTTTGGTATCTTTCGCCTCTCTTTTTCAATGAATCCAATTTTGTATTCGTTATTGAGCAAAAGAGATATTTGATTGGGTCAATTACGGTGCGCATTGCTGAGCATATTTATCTTTTATAACAGAATAAATAGGCAGTGGCTATTTTGCCGGCTCTATCATCAGTGAAATTTTGATATGTACTTTTAATCTGGGACTATTATACTATAATGTATTATGTCCCAGTTTAAATTGATTTAAAATTTACATACTAGTACACAATTTCAGTAAATTGGTGATCTCCAAATGACTCTAACGCTAACGCTCGTACTTAATCATGAAGAATGGGATTATCATTCTCTTCAAGTACATATACCAAGAAAAAGAAAACTGTTTAGTCTTATTAACTACAATAAAACAAATCATGTCCAGTAAAAATGTGAGAAGGGAGTGAGATTGCTGCTAAAGCTGTTAGTTGAGATTTCTTGATCACAGAAGACCTTGCTGAAAATAAACCAGAACTTGTCATCTAGACAGTTTGTTTGGATCAATCAACCTTGGTTTAATAACGAAGTACTGTGACTGAGATGCATGGAGATCTGTCCAAAATATCCACTTGGAAAAGCAAATGAATTTAATGTACATTTTCAAAATGTGTGATGAGGATGCTGACGTCTAAGGAACCAGGTCCCATTCTTTCAATTGTTAACTACAACAAACACAAAGGACATACCAACCCAGCAATCTTCAAAGTAGAAGATTTCCTTGTCACCAGACAGATTCAAAATTTGAACACCAAAATATCTGAACTTAACCAAGGCCTAAGAAAGAACACAGTCAAAACCAGCAAATACTTCTTTCGAGCAAGGAAAGTAAAAAGAGGAGGTTATAGAAAATCTGTGAACATCTCAATCAACAAAGCAGACGGTGTACATCCAGGACCCCTACTTAGCTTAGTCATCACAAAACAACTACTCCTTGATACATACAGAGAGTGCTTCCATATTGCAACAGAGGCTGAAGAAATACAACTCCAAGTCTCAGAAGAAGAGCTGTTGTCACTATTCTAGTAGCAAAGAAACTGAGGAAAAGAATACTGAAGACAGAAGCTGTAGTAAAGGGTTTAGGTGAGTTTATCTTATCAGTCTTTACTACATGCACTCAACGATCAGAAGTATCCACATCCTCATACAATTCAAGAACTCAAGAATAAGTAACTAACAGACAATACACCAAGAACAAATTAACATCACTATACTGTATAAATAAAATGCGTTTCAGCACCAGCTTAATCATCATCATAATCACAATTGTAAAGTACATAGCTGTAGAAAAAGCAGAAGTAGACCAACTACAAATACTCAGTGATGATGAAACCCAGATCAAACAGTATATAACAGCAAACAGCTTGCTAACTGTGATAAAACAGCGCAAATCACCAAAATCAAGACCATACAGATGCAACTCAATATCATCATACTTAATATTAATACTATTAGCAAATGCAAATGATGTCAACCCAAATCCAGGACCAACACAACACAACAACAGCACAATATACCCCTGCGGCACATGTGACCAACCTGTCACCTGGGACCACAGAGCTGTCAGATGTGACACATGCGACCAGTGGTTTCACATCAATTGTCAGGACATTCATAGTGGCACATATAGTTACCTCACAGCAGACGAAAACACTGCTTTAAGATGGGACTGCATTGTTTGCGACAGCCCAAACTACAACTCATTGTGTTACGGCTCAACATCCATCCAAACAGAAAACAGCTTCAGCCCACTGGAAAATACTCTTAACAACAGTACTGAAACACAGAACAGAAAGCCACTACATTCGTCAACACCAAAACGAAATAATGTAAAGGAAAAACATAAGCCCTTTACACCATTGCGAATTTTGAATGTCAACTGTCAGTCTATTAGAAACAAACAACACCAATTTGAAAACATTATAGATAGTACCAAACCTGATGTTATAATAGCAACAGAAACATGGCTAGATCAATCAATTACGAACAGCCAAATATTTCCACCATAATATAATATATATCGCAAAGACAGGAAAGGAAATAAAACCGGAGGAGGCGTCCTAATAGCCATAAACAACAAATATTTAAGCTCTGAGGTACCAGAACTGGACACAGATTGTGAGATAATTTGGGCACGGATACAGCAGAAAGGCACAAAAGATCTATACATATGCGCCTACTATAACCCAAAAACATCGGATGTTGAAAGTCTTCAAGCATTTGAAACATCAGTCAGAAGAACCAACGCAATAAATGCATGCCAATTGATCGGAGGGGACTTCAATTTGCCAGGATGGAACTGGGCAAACAAATGTCTATACCAGGGAACACAGCACACAGAACAACATTACCATTTTGCAGAAATCCTTGACGACAACGGACTAACACAGCTAGTGCAAGAGCCTACAAGAAACAAGAACACTCTGGACCTCTTGATCACTAACCGTCCTAGCAAAATAATGAGAATAGATATCATACCAGGAATATCAGACCATGACATTGTATATGCTGAAATGAACATCAACCCAGTAACAAACAAACAGAAACAACGAAAAATCCCTCTCTACAAGAGGGCGAAATGGGACAGCATGAAGGAAGATATGAAACATCTACACAACGCTATTCAACAAGAAAGCAATACGGATAGACCAGACATAAATATGCTATGGAAAATGTTTAAAGACGGTCTTGAAACAAGTACAAACAAACATATACCAGCAAAAACCTGTAAGACCAAAGATAAGAACCCATGGATTACACAGGAAATAAAATCACTCATAAGGCGAAAAGACCGAGCATATAAAAAGAAAAAGAAATCAAACCATCCTGACGATTGTGCAAGATTTAAAGAACTGAAAAAGACAGCACAGAAAAGCCTAAGACAAGCATATTGGAAGTATATTGAAAGTATCATCACCCCAGAGAATCCTGAAGAAACACATGCCCCTTCTAAAAGATTTTGGACATACATCAAGCACAGAAAAAGTGATAAAAGTGGAGTGGCACCTCTAAGAAAAAATGGTAGCTTAGAAACAGATCCAATCAACAAAGCAAACATATTAAATGAACAATTTCAATCTGTATTTTCCACAGCAAACAACATCAGCAACAGTGAATTCTACAATCAAAATCATATGTCCGACTCACCAGAAAATTACCCTGACTGTAGAGACATCCTTATCACAATCAACGGAGTAGAAAAACAATTGAGAAACCTTAACCCACACAAAGCCGCTGGACCGGATAACATCAGACCAATGATACTCAAAGAACTTGCCAGCGAAATCGCTCCCATACTTACCATCATATTTAATGTTTCAATGGAGACCGGCAAAGTTCCAGATGACTGGCGGACAGCTACAGTCACACCAGCATACAAAAAGGGTCAAAAGTACATCCCAGCAAATTACAGACCAATATCTCTTACATGTATTTGCTGCAAGATCATCGAACATATTGTTACCAGCCATATTATGAAACACGCAGAGGCAAACAACATCCTTTATCCACTACAACATGGATTTCGAAGTAAACGATCCTGCGAGACGCAACTCTTAGAATGCATTGATGACTTAACGAAGTACCTTGAATTGGGAAAACAGTCTGACCTACTAATACTAGACTTCTCAAAAGCATTCGATAAGGTATCCCATAGCCTGCTCCTACATAAACTCAATCACTATGGAATCAGTGGAAAGACCAACAGCTGGATAGAAGCGTTCCTGACAAATAGAACCCAAGTAGTAGTAGTTGAGGGTGAACAGTCAGACAGAGCAAAGGTAGAATCTGGAGTTCCACAAGGTTCAGTCCTAGGCCCTAGTCTATTTTTGTTTTACATAAATGACCTAGCGAATGACCTAAAATCAACAGTTCGTCTCTTTGCTGATGACACAGTAGTCTACTTAACCATCGCCTCAGATACTGATTGCCGACACCTACAGTCAGACCTTGATAAACTGGCACTATGGGAGGAAAAGTGGAAGATGGAGTTTCACCCAGAAAAGTGTAGCGTACTGACTGTCTCCAGAAAGAAAAAGCCAATCAAATGGGACTATGTATTACATGATCATGTACTAAAACATGAAACATCAATTAAGTACCTGGGCTGCACCATCACAAGCGAACTAGACTGGGGAGAACACATCAACAACATTACCAGCAAAGCCAGCAGAAGCCTTGGTTTCCTCCACAGAAATCTACACATCGGCTCTAAAAGCATCAAAGAGCAAGCTTACAAAACCCTAGTAAGGCCCCAACTAGAATATGCCACAACAGTATGGGACCCATATCATCAGAAACATATTGACCAAATTGAAAAAGTTCAAAGGAGGGCTGCGCGATACGTCACAAAGCGCCACAGAAACAGATCAAGTGTCACGGACATGATTAATGAATTGGGTTGGAAAAGTCTCCAAGAACGACGCAGAGAGGCCAGGCTCGCAATGATGTACAAGATCGTCAACGACAAAGTAGCCATCAACAAAGACATGTACCTCCAGAGACCAACCAGAGTATCCAGACATACACAACAGCATGGATACATGGTACAAACAGCAACCAAAGACTGCAGGAAATGGTCCTTCTTTGTGAACACCACCAAAGACTGGAACAAGCTTCCCCCGGAGATCGCCACAGCACAGTCATTTGAGACATTCAAATCTCAAATGACCAACCTTACAAAATAAGATGAACATTTGTTTTTATCCTGTTTTTAACCATGCAGAACCAATTTGCCAGTATATTCAGAAAGTTGAATGTGGGCAGTATATGGAAGAAGAAGAAGAAGAAGAAGAATAGGGTCAGTTAATGTGCAGCTCATGCCTAGAATGGTAACATTTGTTGTATGCCGATTAAAAAAACACACAA